GTCTATATAAAGTTAAGGTATACTGAGGTCTATATAAAGTTAAGGTATACTGAGTTTATATAAAGTTATGGTATACTGAGGTTTATATAAAGTTATGGTATACTGAGGTTTATATAAAGTTATGGTATACTGAGGTTTATATAAAGTTATGGTATACTGAGGTTATATAAAGTTAAGGTATACTGAGGTTTATATAAAGTTATGGTATACTGAGGTTTATATAAAGTTATGGTATACTGAGGTTTATAAAGTTAAGGTATACTGAGGTTTATATAAAGTTAAGGTATACTGAGGTCTATATAAAGTTATGGTATACTGAGGTCTATATAAAGTTATGGTATACTGAGGTCTATATAAAGTTATGGTATACTGAGGTTTATATAAAGTTAAGGTATACTGAGGTTTATATAAAGTTATGGTATACTGAGGTTTATATAAAGTTAAGGTATACTGAGGTCTATATAAAGTTAAGGTATACTGAGGTCTATATAAAGTTATGGTATACTGAGGTTTATATAAAGTTATGGTATACTGAGGTTTATATAAAGTTATGGTATACTGAGGTCTATATAAAGTTAAGGTATACTGAGGTCTATATAAAGTTATGGTATACTGAGGTCTATATAAAGTTAAGGTATACTGAGGTTTATATAAAGTTAAGGTATACTGAGGTTTATATAAGTTAAGGTATACTGAGGTTTATATAAAGTTAAGGTATACTGAGGTTTATATAAAGTTAAGGTATACTGAGGTTTATATAAAGTTAAGGTATACTGAGGTTTATATAAGTTAAGGTATACTGAGGTTTATATAAAGTTAAGGTATACTGAGGTTTATATAAAGTTAAGGTATACTGAGGTTTATATAAAGTTAAGGTATACTGAGGTTTATATAAAGTTATGGTATACTGAGGTTATATAAAGTTATGGTATACTGAGGTTTATATAAAGTTATGGTATACTGAGGTTTATATAAAGTTATGGTATACTGAGGTTTATATAAAGTTATGGTATACTGAGGTTTATATAAAGTTATGGTATACTGAGGTCTATATAAAGTTAAGGTATACTGAGGTCTATATAAAGTTATGGTATAATGAGGTTTATATAAAGTTATGGTATACTGAGGTTTATATAAAGTTATGGTATACTGAGGTCTATATAAAGTTATGGTATACTGAGGTCTATATAAAGTTAAGGTATACTGAGGTCTATATAAAGTTAAGGTATACTGAGGTTTATATAAAGTTAAGGTATACTGAGGTCTATATAAAGTTAAGGTATACTGAGGTCTATATAAAGTTAAGGTATACTGAGGTCTATATAAAGTTAAGGTATACTGAGGTTTATATAAAGTTAAGGTATACTGAGGTCTATATAAAGTTAAGGTATACTGAGGTTTATATAAAGTTAAGGTATACTGAGGTTTATATAAAGTTAAGGTATACTGAGGTTTATATAAAGTTATGGTATACTGAGGTTTATATAAAGTTATGGTATACTGAGGTTTATATAAAGTTATGGTATACTGAGGTTTATATAAAGTTATGGTATACTGAGGTTTATATAAAGTTATGGTATACTGAGGTCTATATAAAGTTAAGGTATACTGAGGTTTATATAAAGTTATGGTATAATGAGGTTTATATAAAGTTATGGTATACTGAGGTCTATATAAAGTTAAGGTATACTGAGGTCTATATAAGTTATGGTATAATGAGGTTTATATAAAGTTATGGTATACTGAGGTCTATATAAAGTTAAGGTATACTGAGGTCTATATAAAGTTATGGTATAATGAGGTCTATCTCCTGTATTGCTTTGTTCAAAGCCACCAGACTCCACTGATAAAAACAGTATAATAAATTGTTAACATGTTATTAAACACATGAACACCTGGATTTACCTGAGCAGTGGCTGAGTCTCTGAGCTGAATGGTCCTCACAGACTCCTGACCGTCTCTCCTTGGCAGCTTCAACTTCTGCTCCTCCTGAAACACCAACAGACCGTCAGAGAGATCGCTCTTGGCAGTAGCACAGTAGATTATTTCATTACAGATTTAGATCTACTGTCTCTCATAAATGCCAAATTGCCGCACAACAGATCAGATATTTACCCTCCAGACTTTAACTGATCAAGAAGTAAACCTAAAGAATGACATCTTCACTTTAAATATAATCACATTTTAAACTGTGATCCTTATTCTAGTTTTAAGTTGCAGGTTTTTACTATAAATCAACCTTCTGTGGTTTTGATTGTTGCTGGTTATCCATATTTGTTTGTGATGATAAGCCATTAGTTACACACCTTTTAAATGTCATTGAGTCTTTTAGTTTCACACAACTTGTGTCTGAACCTACACGTCAGCGTGGACATACGTTAGATTTAGTTTTAAGCTATGGTTTGTCAGTTAATGATGTCGGTACCAGTATCAGTACTTGCTGATATTATTAGACATCCTTATAATCACTTTAACTTGAAACTAACAGATGTGATGGATCAAGTTTTTAGCCAAGCTCTTCGGTGGACTGCCTCAACTTTAATGGTGCACTCTGGGATTTGTTGGCGTCAGTGGCTCCAGAAAATCAAATGTGAATTTTTATTGTTTATATATGAAGTTTGGCTTTGGCAACATTGTTTACCTAAACATTCACGCTAAGAAAACGAACTGAAAAGAAAAATGGGAGACAGAGAGAGAGAGAGAGAGAGAGAGAGAGAGAGACAGAGAGACAGAGAGAGAGACAGAGAGAGAAAGACACGGACAGAGAGAGAGAGAGAGACAGAGAGAGACACAGAGAGAGAGAAAGACAGACAGAGAGACAGAGAGAGAGACACGGACAGACAGAGAGACAGAGAGAGACAGAGAGAGCGAGAGACAGAGACAGAGACAGAGACAGAGAGAGCGAGACAGAGAGAGCGAGACAGAGAGACAGAGACAGAGAGACAGAGAGAGAGAGACAGAGAGACATTGATCCTGATCAGATCCTTCAGTTTGGTATTTTGGACAAAGTCTACAGCCTCTGATTGGAGAAGGACCGCGTCAGAGCGCAATGACATCACACATATGCTGTGGTTTCTTCATGAAGTCACCTGCAGAATCACAACACACACCTGGACAGACGATAAAAGAACATATTTCTGAGACCTCCTGAGCCTGATGTCCTGGCTCCTCTGTCGGCCCTCTGACGCATTCTGGCTTTAACCAGAACTAACAGACTCGACACCACTGACACAAACACAGATCTGGACTCTGGTTCTGTTGCTATCTTACGGGTCTGGACTCTGGTTCTGTTGCTATCTTACGGGTCTGGACTCTGGTTCTGTTGCTATCTTACGGGTCTGGACTCTGGTTCTGTTGCTTCCTTACGGGTCTGGACTCTGGTTCTGTTGCTATCTTACGGGTCTGGACTCTGGTTCTGTTGCTTCCTTACGGGTCTGGACTCTTGTTCTGTTGCCATCTTACGGTTCTGGACTCTGGTTCTGTTGCTTCCTTATGGGTTGCTACCTTGCAGAAGATCTTCAGCTCAGATCCGCTCACAGCCGGAGGGCGGTAGAAGTTCTCAAACCAACACTCCCACTCTCTGTTGAAATGTCCGACAAAGTCGATCTCCTTCACACACATAACCCTCCTGCACAACAACAACAACACAGATAAACAATAAATAACACACAACAACAGCGCACAGAGACAATTAATCAAGTTGAAAGGTTTGTGAGGGTTCCCACCTGTTGGTGATGATGATGTTGGTCTTTCGGTGACCCGGGTACACACAGTGACCTCTGAACACCTCACCGTCCAGCTGTTTGATCTCCGAGCGCTGGAAACACAGGACGTTTAAACACACTCAGAGATTTGATTTGATTGATCTCTCTTTTGTTTTACTTCTGAAATAGTGTTTCTTCAGCTGCAGCTGATCATCAGCCGCTAATCTGATTCATTCAAACACTGATCTGTAATCAAAGCATACAGGTTGTGTTTGAGGCCTCACAGGGTTTCACCTGAGCTCCCATCACGGCTCACAGCCGGTGGTTACAGCAGTAAGCTACAATCCAATCAATCAATAAACATTTAACAGTGAGTGACATTTACACAAAGGCTCAATATTCCCAGTCAACATCAAGAGATGGACACTTTTAAATATATTTATTTTCTTATTAAATTAAACTCATCCACCTTCTGGCGCTGCGGTTTTATTCCCCACCAGACCTTTACCACAACCTCCTCCCAAAGCGAGACTGAGCGTCGTGTAACCGCTGCTGAAGCATCAACACAGGGCGGGGTGACGAACGGACGCGTAAAGCGCCTTTCTAGTCTTTACATGTTCGCTCATTCACACACTGAAGGCAGCCTCCAGGAGCAACATGGGCCCCTCCTCATGCAGACTGGAGGAGCCGGGGATGGAAGGGATGAAAATAAAAACATAAAGGTAAAGTGTGATTAAGGAGTGTAGTTACAGGAGAAACTCCACCTGTAGGGGGCACCACCCTGTTAACAAGGAAATGAACCAAATGAATTCATAACTCGGTTATTAAATCGCTCAGTGTCTTAAGGAGAATTCTTTTCCATAGAAGGACCTCGTCTTCTGCTTGAAAGAAAACACACAGACAACTTCTTACTGATTAAATGAGGACATTTATTTATTGGTAAATGTCTAACAACAGGATCAATCAAGGATTAATAAGGTGTAACGATACAGAAACAACAGTTGAAGAGCAGATGATTAAAACAAAAGCAAACGTAACGCTGGGGCAACTCAGTTCTCGAAAAAGGTATTCACATATCGCAGCGCCACTGTTGTTGGGTCTGTATGGTTTTACCGTGAAAGGTGGGGGACAACATGACCCCCGAAATGTTCTGAGTGTCTCCTCCTTTTGTTCCTTTGGATGTGCTTCGTCCGTTCACACCTCTTCCACGTTCCACGCCACCTTCTTCTGCGAGGGTTATATACTTTCTGACAGACACTGCGAGTGTGCGCTGACTTTAGGTGAGGAACAAAAGAACCTCAAAGAAAGACTAGAAAAATAAAGCTGTAAGCTCAGGAGGGTCTGAGGGCCAGCTGAGGCTCAAGGAGGAGGAGGAGGAGTCTGGAGGAAGGTTTTCCTGCTCTGTAACGTTCGTCTGAAGCTTTTAAAGATGGCTACTCAGACGGGTGATTTAAATTTAAGAGTTTATTTAATTTTTATTTGAATCTAATCTTTCACTGCATCACTATATTCAGACAATAATTATTTTCAAAATGTGAGTATAGCACAGAGGGTTAAAAAACAGCTGACTCACTGAATCACTCAACCACCTGATGGCTCCTGAACTAACAGTCTAGATAGGGCCCTGTGATGAACTGGGGACCTGTCCAGGTGTACCCCGCCTCTCGCTCCAGCCCCCCCGCGACCCTGCACGGTGAAGCGGTTACAGGCGATGGCTGGATTATTAATAGGTGGCGTGAGGTTAACCCTGTAAGACCCGCTCACTTTTAGCTCTCCAAAAAATACATCTGCAAATGTTTTATTTTGAAAGACCACATGTACATAGCCAATGGGTCCTATTGTTTAGCTCACAATGCCATTGGATACTAAATGTGTACACATGTCTGGGCACAAGGCCATGAACTCATACGACCTGCAAACTTTCCTGGAAGCACTTCTCCTCGTTTCATGGGACTGGATATATCAACACTGAAGTGAGTAAAATCCCTGAAATATTCTTTTTGTGATTGTTAGAATGTCTAGTTCATTTATATACTATACTATATAATATTATTGTGGAATGCATGCGTCAAATTAGATTTTCAGCTGTTATGTCTTTGTTGTAATTTTACAACGCTGGGTGAGAATGGTAATCAAAGTAGCACTTGAGACGTTGCACTTCTCAAATAGGATAAATACTTAGAGAAATACAATGTATTTGATGTGTTTTATTGTCAGTTTAGACCAGATTCGTATAGTTCTAAAAGAATAAATGATTTCTGGTTGCAGTATTTTAGTACCAATATTTGAAATTGTTCCTGTATGTTAGCAGTAAAATATAGTCTTTATTTGTTTTTCCAAATATCTGCTTGTTTAGTAAGGCAGGGGAGTTGTTTGTGGAGTGGTTTGGAGGATGGCACAAATGTTCTGAAATGTGGGGGGTTGCGTGCATGGTGCATTGTTCAGGGCAGGTCTGAATGTTCGGGGGTTTGCATATTCCTTTCATAATGTTAAGTAGAGTGCACATTAGGCTGGCCACACAGTATTGTGTCACTTCAGTGGAATGTATCATAATTAGGATTCATCTGCATTGAAACTATGTAAACCTGAACACACTCTTGCAACTATTGTTTACCATAGTGTGCATGATGCCATTTTTGCTTTTCGAATTCGAAAAAAAGTTATTTGAGTGATGAAGAGCTTGTTGAACATATCAATGAGCTGGTCAAAGAGAATCAGACACCCGCTGATTGTCCAGCTGATGACGATGATGAGAAAAGCAACTTAACCGACGACGCCCTGGGACAGGTATCGCTTCCTGAAAAAAGGATTTCATCACTAATTCAGATTTCTCTGGTCCAGATGTCAGCAGTGGTGCTGATGCTGAACAGGAGACTGTTCCAGGCGCAACTCGCATCCTCTCTCACTCTGGTGTGAATCCATTTCCGCTGTTTACCATATTTAATATTTCACTGATTATCCGGTCTTTAATGTAAGTTTCACATCGCATCTGATTCAAGGAGAGGGCGGCCATCTTCAGTCAGTGGGAGCCCTTTGACGTCCCTAACAGTGACGCCTCAGAGACCTGAAGAGACCATCCTCAGGTTTTGGGGATCCACCAAATGGGATCCCAGCTAAGAGGTCATGTGAACCACCCACAGATGTGCGCAGTGACATCGTAACATATCTCCAAGTAAAGACTAAAAATTAGACATTCTAAGAAGCTTTACGGGAAGTGTAATCTCCGTCTTTTGTGCTTTTGGGATTATCACTGTCAATGAGGTTCTTTGACAAAGTTTTAAATGTGTTTTGTATATAATATTTTAAATTTTTAATAAATTCTGATTCCCTTGATGACCGTTGGGTGATTCCTAGTCGTGATATTTACAATCCACACTGCCATAGCTGTTCTATAGATTTGTGTGACAATGTGAGTGCAAATGCTGAAATTCTGCTCCCAGCAAGGCCCCAAACACTTACTAAAAGAAAAAAAATTCAAAAATCCTTCATTATCTGCATCAGAGGCCTCCTACAGCAACATCTGACGAGTGAAATCATTTTTTTCTATAGTTGGGTCTTACAGGGTTAAACATCTCGTCTGCTTTACATTACACAGTATAAAAGCTACAATATGATTTACCATGACGGGGGGGGGGGTTATGTTTGCAGATTCATTCAGAACTCCCCCGTGTTCTCGCTCAGCTAACAACACACACACACACACACACACATTTAAAGCTCAACACGAGCACGACACAGCCAGAGGTCAGAGGTCATGCTGATGCATAATATGAGTTCAGACTGGATTACACAGAAGCATTCAACATCACAGACTTAGATACGCTCCAGAACAAAGTCTGTTACAAAAGTATTGCTACGATCTACAGGAGAGGGCACATGAACCACAGCTTTCTAGGGAAACCAGTTCCACTACCTGGTAGATGGGTCGATAAACTCTACATGGTTATGAACAAAGTTAAAAAATAAAGTACTTAAGTATTTCAGAAATAAAAAGCAGACATGTTTATTCTAGAAAAAAGTAATAAAATGTTTGAGGTATGAGAGAAAGATATGGCATGCATAGAAACCTGAATTATCTCGGTATTTATTGGTTCATGTATAAAACATATTTATAGATGAATGACAATATTTACATGTGAGAAAGAATGACTGAATGAATGAATGAAAGACTGAATGTAGTTTATGGTCTATAAAAGCACTTGAATGAAACGTTGATCCGCTCAAACCCTGTTTATTCCTCATCAGGCTGCGTTGACACAAAACACAAGAAGAAGAAGAAGAAGAAAGCAGTTAGAGCACGACGCCGACCCTGAGCTGTACGTTTTCTGAGTGAACGTTCTCTCTCTGCTCAGCGTGCACGTCAGCGCCGTCTGGGCCGTGCACGTGTTGTCAGCTGACACGATCTGGGGTCTGGAAATCTAATTCAGCGTCATTCTGCTGATGTTTTCCACCTCACTGACTCCAATTTAGAAAACACGGACAATGCAACTTAATTCAGAGCAAGCGCTGACGGACGCTGAGCGAGAGAGATCGCTTCCTCTCAGGAAGTGACATCACGTCGTCATAGAAACAGAGAGTTAAAGTGATCAAACCTGGAAGAGGTCGAAGCCCTGTGACTCCGTCAGGTCATACGGTCGGATGATCCCGTCCTCCCTGATCAGACGCACCGGCCGCAGTTTGGTCACTTCCTCTGTCGACTCCGCCGCTCTGACATCACAGCACACACACACACACACACACACACACAGTTTACAGCCCACCTCCACCTGAGTGACAGCAAAGATTCACCAGAAGATATCGATACATCACTGAGCTGAGGATCAATAACTGATCAGTCAGTATCTGTCACACTGAGCGAGTGACCACGGTGCTGTTAGGTGCATCTGTCCGGTGGGATATCTCACCTTTGGTGACCTCTACAGTGACAGCATGAAACAGTAACGTTCAATAGGTTATCATGAACTGATGCGTCACATGACAGATGAGGAGGAGGAGGATGATGATGAAGGTCACTGAGGCAGCTGGGAAATATTTCAGGGAGAGAAGCAGGCTGTCGAGGCGACGACAGATTTACTGAAGAATAAATGTTACCTGTAATATTCTAATGTCAAACACAGTTTTAATTAAACTATATACAGTACTTATACCTATTTAACAATATTTACATGTACTTCTGAGTATTTACTAGTAATTAGTTAGTACTTCAATGCAAATCACAAATATTTAGTACTACTTAAAAGTATTTTTTTATATTTACATAAGTATATAGAATTGATGTTTTCACAAATACTTTCTAATACTTCTAAATATTTACTACTATTTAGATGAACTTGTGCAAATGTAGTAGTATTGATTTGCATTTATACATATTAAGTAGTAGTGATTATTTAAAAAAAAAAAAAAACTTTACTATTCTACTATTTACATGTCCCTAAAAGTTTATAGTAGAATTTACATTTTTGTATATTTTCCTAGAAATATTTGTTAAATATACTACAAATTTTGTAGCATTTACATTGTTATTTGTATTTTGTGGTAATGACACATATTTAAAGTAGTGAACCATGTCATCATTCATCAATCTCCTTTTGTTTCCATGGAGATTCATGTAAACATCTCTGAGCATCTGCACAGAGCAGGGTGTTCTGCATAACACCTCCCCCACAGCTCAACAGCGATACTGCGATCCTGCACTTCAAGCAAGCTGATTGGTTCATTTAAATCTTGTTGGGAGGCGGGTTCAGAAAACAGGTAATAAAAAAGAAACAGCCACATGAAGCCTTCGAGCGAACACCGTGCACATTCGCCTACATGCAGCCGGAGACGCTTCTGTCCACATGTCAGCAAACACGCTGCTGTGAGTCAACGTGTTTCAAAGATGCAGTTTTCTCACATTCAACACATTCGTGTTCTCATCGTACTTCCTGTCTGTAGTCTGCCAGCTGTCGTACAACTCCATGCAGCTGCTGAACAGCACATCTTAAAAAGCTCAGCCTTGATCCAGGGCTTTTAGCCAACTACAGACCTGTAGCTAACCTTCAAACTACAGACCTGTATCTAACCTCCAAACTAAAGACCTGTAGCTAACCTCCAAACTACAGACCTGTATCTAACCTCCAAACTACAGACCTGTATCTAACCTCCACACTACAGACCTGTATCTAACCTTCAAACTACAGACCTGTAGCTAACCTTCAACTACAGACCTGTAGCTTACCTTCAACTACAGACCTGTAGCTAACCTCCAAACTACAAACCTGTAGCTAACCTTCAAACTACAGACCTGTAGCTAACCTCCAAACTACAGACCTGTATCTAACCTCCAAACTACAGACCTGTAGCTACCCTTCAAACTACAGACCTGTAGCTACCCTTCAAACTACAGACCTGTAGCTACCCTTCAAACTACAAACCTGTATTTAACCTTCAAACTACAGACCTGTAGCTAACCTCCAAACTACAGACTTGTAGCTAACCTTCAAACTACAGACCTGTAGCTAACCTTCAACTATAGACCTGTAGCTAACCTCCAAACTACAGACCTGTATCTAACCTCCAAACTACAGACCTGTAGCTAACCTTCAACTACAGACCTGTAGCTAACCTTCAACTACAGACCTGTAGCTAACCTCCAAACTACAGACCTGTAGCTAACCTCCAAACTACAGACCTGTAGCTAACCTCCAAACTACAGACCTGTAGCTAACCTCCAAGCTACAGACCTGTATCTAACCTCCAAGCTACAGACCTGTAGCTACCCTCCAAACTACAGACCTGTAGCTACCCTTCAAACTACAGACCTGTAGCTACCCTTCAAACTACAAACCTGTATTTAACCTTCAAACTACAGACCTGTAGCTAACCTCCAAACTACAGACCTGTAGCTAACCTCCAAACTACAGACTTGTAGCTAACCTCCAAACTACAGACCTGTAGCTAACCTCCAAACTACAGACCTGTATCTAACCTCCAAACTACAGACCTGTATCTAACCTCCAAACTACAGACCTGTAGCTAACCTCCAAACTACAGACCTGTATCTAACCTCCACACTACAGACCTGTATCTAACCTCCAAACTACAGACCTGTAGCTAACCTTCAACTACAGACCTGTAGCTAACCTCCAAACTACAAACCTGTAGCTAACCTTCAAACTACAGACCTGTAGCTAACCTCCAAACTACAGACCTGTATCTAACCTCCAAACTACAGACCTGTAGCTACCCTTCAAACTACAGACCTGTAGCTACCCTTCAAACTACAGACCTGTAGCTACCCTTCAAACTACAAACCTGTATTTAACCTTCAAACTACAGACCTGTAGCTAACCTCCAAACTACAGACTTGTAGCTAACCTTCAAACTACAGACCTGTAGCTAACCTTCAACTATAGACCTGTAGCTAACCTCCAAACTACAGACCTGTATCTAACCTCCAAACTACAGACCTGTAGCTAACCTTCAACTACAGACCTGTAGCTAACCTTCAACTACAGACCTGTAGCTAACCTCCAAACTACAGACCTGTAGCTAACCTCCAAACTACAGACCTGTAGCTAACCTCCAAACTACAGACCTGTAGCTAACCTCCAAGCTACAGACCTGTATCTAACCTCCAAGCTACAGACCTGTAGCTACCCTCCAAACTACAGACCTGTAGCTACCCTTCAAACTACAGACCTGTAGCTACCCTTCAAACTACAAACCTGTATTTAACCTTCAAACTACAGACCTGTAGCTAACCTCCAAACTACAGACTTGTAGCTAACCTCCAAACTACAGACCTGTAGCTAACCTCCAAACTACAGACTTGTAGCTAACCTTCAAACTACAGACCTGTAGCTAACCTCCAAACTACAGACCTGTATCTAACCTCCAAACTACAGACCTGTAGCTAACCTCCAAACTACAGACCTGTATCTAACCTCCACACTACAGACCTGTATCTAACCTCCAAACTACAGACCTGTAGCTAACCTTCAACTACAGACCTGTAGCTAACCTCCAAACTACAAACCTGTAGCTAACCTTCAAACTACAGACCTGTAGCTAACCTCCAAACTACAGACCTGTAGCTAACCTCCAAACTACAGACCTGTAGCTAACCTCCAAACTACAGACCTGTAGCTAATCTCCAAACTACAGACCTGTAGCTACCCTTCAAACTACAGACCTGTAGCTACCCTTCAAACTACAAACCTGTATTTAACCTTCAAACTACAGACCTGTAGCTAACCTCCAAACTACAGACTTGTAGCTAACCTTCAAACTACAGACCTGTAGCTAACCTTCAACTATAGACCTGTAGCTAACCTTCAACTATAGACCTGTAGCTAACCTTCAACTATAGACCTGTATCTAACCTCCAAACTACAGACCTGTAACTAACCTTCAGCTATAGACCTGTATCTCTCTAAGATCCTTGAGAAAGCAGTTGCCAAACAGCTGTGTGACTTTCTACATAGCAATAGTTTATTTGAGGATTTTCAGTCAGGATTTAAAGTTCTTCAAAGCACAGAGACAGCACTGGTGAAAATTACTAATGACCTCCTAATTGCATCATATACTATTACAAGACTGCACGCCAAAGTTAGTCACAGAGTTCCACAAGGATCTGTGCTGGGACCAATCCTGTTCACTTTAAATATGCTTCCTTTAGGCAATATTATCAGGAAACACTCCATAAACCTTCATTGTTATACAGATGATACTCAATTATATCTATCAGTCAAGCCAGATGAAACTAATCAGTTAGCTAAACTCCAAATGTGCCTTCAGGATGTAAAAACTCAATGCCTGTAGTAGTAACACGACTTCTTCCCTCCCCCGTAGTCTTGAGCTTTCCTGTCTCGTTCATGAATATAAGATTAATGAACTTTAAACTGTCAGAAAGATTTGATGATTTCAGATGATGCATGTTAGTAAACTGTAAACTTTGTGTGAAAGTTATATTTAATTCAAGTGAATAAAGAACACATGAGTTGTTTTGACCACAGTGAAGTCTATGAAGCTGCTCACCCTACCCAACATCATTTAAACCAGCAGTCAGAATTACTCAGGTGTTTTTCCTGTTCAGCATTAGTCCATTCCTTTTTCTTATAAACTCGGTGAAGCTTCTGGATTATCTGGGCTCCTAGACTGAAAAGCTATCAGGGACCGGACAGCAGAACACTTTTACAGCTCAGTGCTGATGAGACAGATGAGGTTCTGGTTGTTGCAAAGTATTGGGACACCCCCTCTGCTGCCTGCTCCACTCTGCAAAGCCCTGGTGGTAATATCTGATCACCCCTTGAGGTTTGACTCCATGTTAGGCAGCTAGCCAGTTCACGGGGGTTGCTTTATCTTCTTTCATGTCTTTCTTGGAGGTTCATGTTACAGATAACACTGACAGGAATGAAGGTACGTCTGTTGGGTTCTATGGTTGTAAAATGTTTGGGAACCACTGAACTTGGAGCTGATTCGTTATTACATTATTGAGGAAGTGGCATTTGTTTGAATCCTGAGGTCATGTTTGGGATTTAATGGTAATGTTGTAAACGGATCAACCCGCTGTCACCTGACCTCTCGACTCACCATGCTGCAGCCAGCGGGGTGGGGGGGGGGGTTTAACATAGGGCGGGGCTGCTGGCAGTGTTAGAGTGACGGACGATGTGAGCATGAGTCAGTCAGATGAAGTGTTTATTTCTGACATGATGCAGCGACTTACCGTCCGTCTGCTGCAGGACGACAACAACATGCAAAAACATACAACAGCTGCACGTGGAAGCTCATCTCCTTCATCTGATCTGGATTAAAATTTACGTTTTTAAGGCCAAAATAAGCGATTTTATTCAAACAGATACTGAGAAGAACTCTGTTTCTGTGATTCACTAACAGACTTTACATGAGCGGTGATGAAGGAGCTCAGCTTTAACATGTTTAATGTGAAATACTCACACACCAAAACCACAAGAAACGAAAGAACAAAACTCCGGGGAAACGACAACACGAGACAGAAACAAAAGCAGAAAATGTGAAAATTAGTGAGCGCACAAGAAGAAGAAAAGAGGAAACAGCTGACACGTTATGAAGCACACGGACAAAACAGGAAGTTCTTCCCTGGGAAAGTACTGGAAACAAACGACGAATAAAGAAACTCTCAGAATCTCAGAAAAGAGCGATGGAGGCAGCGTACCTCTGGATGCCCTGGAAGGTGCTGCTGGCCATGTCCACGATGCCGCCTGTCGGCCGGGCCACCACGCCTACCAGACCTTTCCCGATGCCCTTAAAGAAACCTGCTGCGCCCTCCTTCTTCGCCCCTGCAGACACATTTCATATCAACATCAGGTACAATGGACACTCGAACAATCTTCTGCTGAGGTTCTACTGCAATCTGATTGGTGAGTGTTTTAGTTTTTTTAGTTAGCGTTTTTCTTTTAATAATAATAATGACAGTGTAACTAAACGTTCCACACAAGCCTCTGTACTGTTCATCCAGTCACCACTGATAACCTTTCCTTTATAGACACCTGACATATCTACAGCTCTGATCTTTATTATCCAGACCCCTGAGATCCAGAACGCCGCTAACACGCTGTACAGTTTACTTTCTCTATCAAGTCTTCCCATCATAGTTTACACATTTCTCTGACTTCATTACAGAAAGCAGAGATGACATGAGGGAGGCAGAGATGCAGCCACAAAGGTCCAAGGTGCTGTACAGTTCATGCTCCAGTCTCTCGTAACTAATACAGTCAACCCCCTTAATCATTAGTACTACTGTAATCTAGTCTGTGTTTGTCTCATTGTCCTAAATCAGGTCTGTAAATACACTTTCAATCAGTTCTACAATAAAACCGAAGGAGGATACTCACCCTCCACAGGTTTGGTGACGATGCCTGTTACTCCACCCATGACTCCCTGCGGAGACACAAACTTGTTACAGACCTTCATCAGCTGACCTTCATCAGCTGACCTTCATCAGCTGGAGTGTCTGTACCTTCAGCAGTCCAACTCCTCCTTTAGCCAGACTCTCTCCGAAGTCTCTAGGCGGTCGGTTCATCTCCTCTCGTCGTTTCTGTTGGTACTCCTTATCCATGGTGATGGCTGCCAGACCTTTACCCACCGACCCCGTGATCCTGGAAACCACCCCTGCAGCGCCACCTGCAGGAGGACACAGTCAGCTGTTCACCACAGAGCTCATCACATTTATCATCAGATTCCAGGAAGGGCTGTTGGACTCGTCAGAATCAGAGCAACCAGACATATCGCCACACCATCCTTATTTACCCACAATGCAACTCTCCCAGGTAGAAGCGGCTAATGTAGCCTGGAGCTTGTGAAGGCTTTATACTACTCTAGAACATTTGCAGAACACCTGGAGACACCTGCTGAAGTCCACACTACTCTAAGAAGTGATTTACAATCCAGACAGTCCAAATATTTCATTCATCCAAACATTAAAAGAAGTCTTCTGTCTGAATGTGTGCCGACAGACGTCTCTCCTGTTGGATAAAGGTTTGGTTTCTCAGTTTCTTACCGACAGTGTGACCCAGCAGGCTACGGACTCCGATCACAAAACCTTCAGCGAACTCCTCTGGACCCTGGACCGCCCCCTGATGAACACACACAGCAGTCAGCTTTATTAAAGCAGGGCTGATTTCCCGCTACAGGTCCACTCGGCAGTGGCGGGTCTAGACCAGTTTTATCGAGGGGGCCAGGCGGGGCTAGTTGTTTTGTCAGAGGGGCCCATTCAATCCAGGACAAAAGAGACAAAGGCAAAGTTCAAGCTTTCAAAATCTCTTGTTAATTTAATGTTTTAGTATGTTTCAGTAACTTGCAGTTTTTTGTTTCAGTAACAGGACATTTTCGGTAAATTACTTCCTGTTAACTTTAGCTCAAGTTAGAGTACATTCTTTGATGCAACACTTCTTTGTAAGGCTTAATGAACAGTAGAAGCTCTAGTGTACTAGACATTCTCGGGATCCCAGTTTGTATTTTGTATCCCACTATAACTTTTCCTGATGTGAAGTGTACACAAAACAAACTACTTGATAGTAGGCCATCATCTGTGCATTATGGAGGGTGATACATATATTTGCATATCCAGCCTGGTAGGACCAGTAGGCTACTGTTATCGCTTTTTGTGTATGAGAAGTTCTGTTTAAATGCATTATTAATTTGTTATGATACTAATTTACTCTTTAAGGAGGGGGACTCAGAACAATTTCCAGCAATATCCAAATGCTGCCCATGCAATGGAAACGTGGATTACAAGGACAAAATCTACAATGCTGCATTCAGTTTAATGCACATTTCGAGTCCAGTAGATGCAACGTTGAGGCGAGCGACGTGTTAAACTGATTCCAGTGATCTAGATTTTACAGTATCGATGGCGTAGATATTTGTAGGAGCAGCTTACTTGAAAAAGTTGACAGTCTGTCAGGATCCAGCTTCCAAACAGTAAAACTGACGACTGAGTGATCGACTGCGTGGTCAGTTAGAACATCGCCAGACTATCACAAAATAACGGTTTGCTTTACGAGGGAAACTGAAACTGCTCGTTTTGTTTAGACATTCTCAGTTCAGTGCAGTGAATAATACGAAGTTCAATAACGCGTAACGTTAACGTTAAAAGCGTTCTTATAATCCGTGTGCTAGCTCGCTTTGCAAAAACCTTGTTGATAAAACAAAATTAAAACGACAGATGAAACAATCCACATGTTATATTTTTCATTAACTTTCCTGAAGTCGAAGGTCCGCCTTCACCGTTGGGGGAACACTTTCTATCGGGGTTAACTCCCTTTGCACGACACCGGACAGTGGCGGTGTAACGTCCTAAAGGATCCAACTAGTTGAGACACATTTGTTACGTATCTTACTTTGATAATTGTTGACTTTTCGTTCAGAGGGGCCATGGGGGGTCCAAGGTCTGTGTTACAGGGGCACTCGGCCACAGCCACTCGGCTCCTACAAACCGTGACCTGAACCAGTCTGAAGCCCAGATTTAGACGTGTGGTCCATTTTCACCAGTCAACCTCTCAGAGGTTCAGTAAAATCTGCTGCCTTCCCTTCGACACGCAGACGAGCAGCCGGTCTCTTTGCCGTCTGACGCTCGGCAGCCGTCAGAGCTGATAGGCTGTTACTTATGACGTGTAACCAATCAGATAGTGTTGTGGGCGGGACCCAGAGTGAGACTACAGACAGAGAGGTGGCTACATCAGAACCAGAGTAGCACATTTTAAGATGATGCGTGAGTTCTGTGATCAGTTGCAGTCGAGTCTTTTCGGCCTTTCTCTGCATCACCGTTTACTCATTACTTTAAAAAGGGGGCGTCCGTACGGATCGTGGATCACCTACAATCCGTTACACCACCAGTCAAATTCGCAGGTTACAGTTCACCAAAGTTAAACTCACAGCAGAACTTTCCCATAGATTCACTTTACCTCCTTGGGCAGACGGTCTGATGGCAGATGCATCAGAATGAGCCGACGTCATCGTTTTAAAGCCGGCGTTTCTTGTGCAGGTCTGGGCTTAAGAACTCGTTTCCATGCTGTGTTGAAAATGTTTTGTAAGTCATGTGTGTGCGTGTGTGTGTTACCTGGAAAGGTTCGTAGAAGAAGGCCTCCACTCCCTCAGACAGACCTCGGATCAGTCCAAACGGGTTTCCCAGGACGTCCAGACCCAGAACCAGAACATACATCTGCTTCAGGAACTGCAGCCAGAAACAACATCATGTTCTTCCATCAGAGGTTCACAAACTTTAATCAGGTCAACTGTTCATTCAGTGATGGACCATCGCTTTTAGAAGCAGGAAGAGGAAGTGTGTTTCTTGATGACTGATTTTAGATCTTAACAATCATCTCAGAGGAAGCTCTGAAAGCTTGTAGACCACACTAAACCTTATATGTAGAAGAGAATGGTATTAAAAACACATGGCAGATGCAACAAACATCCACCAACTCACATGGAGGGAATTCTGTTCAGATATTTCTGTCAGAGAATAATAATATGTTTTGGGAAATGGTGTGCAAAGTTACTGCATGCAGAGGAACTGAGAGAGGCAGCGCCTGCAACACCGGACTGATATGTAAAAATCTTTATGGTACTCAGACTACAAGAAGGACAACTGGAAGAGAACGGGAAAAACATTTCACAAGACTCAAAAAGGCAACAGCAGGACGGAGCAGTGAATAAATCCACATCACCGTGTGTTTTCCAAACCCAGAAACTGAGACCACTCAAACATCAGAAGAGTAATGTAGTTTACACAGTCCACCACTGCACCATTAAAGACCAGGACCCGACTCATGAGGGAGGAAGCAGTGAGGAAGACTTTGGGTGAACGGGTTCAGGGTTACGATGACAAACAGAGGCTGCAGTGTTACCTGCTCACTGTAGTGCCGGACCACCGCCCACATCAGCTTCTCTCTGCTGTAAAACTGGTACTTCACCTCGAAGAAGGCCAGTCTGAGGACACCAAACACAAAACGCAGATTCAACTCCACATCACACCAGAGAGGACAACTTTTGTTTTGACAGGGCCAAACAACACGTTTCCTCTTCCTAAAAATGTGGTTTGATGAACTCTCACAGAGTAAGAAATGTTTCTGTTATCTGAGCATGGATGCGTCTAATGTTGCATTCAACTGACAGAGGAGCATCACGGCCCAGAATGCATCTCTCTAAAACAAAAACACTGAACAGCAGGAAGTGTCTCACTTGAAAATGAGGTCATCAACGTCGGTCAGCGTGGCACCGATACTTTTTAACAGCAGGTTAAGAGACTCAACGGACACTGTCCCCTGAGACGAGTTCCCACCGCTGGAGCCCAGAGACAGACTGAGATGAAGCTGAAACATAAAATATAAAAACATAGGATTAAGGACAGGTTGGACGCAGAGGATGAAGGACAGGTTGGACGCAGAGGATGAAGGACAGGTTGGACGCAGAGGATGAAGGACAGATTGGATGAAGGACAGATTGGACGCAGAGGATGAAGGACAGGTTGGATGAAGGACAGGTTGGACGCAGAGGATGAAGGACAGGTTGGATGATGGACAGGTTGGATGAAGGACAGGTTGGATTAAGGACAGGTTGGACGCAGAGGATGAAGGACAGGTTGGACGCAGAGGATGAAGGACAGGTTGGATGAAGGACAGATTGGACGCAGAGGATGAAGGACAGGTTGGATGAAGGACAGGTTGGATGAAGGACAGGTTGGGCGCAGAGGATGAAGGACAGATTGGATGAAGGACAGGTTGGAAACAGAGGATGAAGGACAGGTTGGATGAAGGACAGGTTGGACGCAGAGGATGAAGGACAGGTTGGATGAAGGACAGGTTGGACGCAGAGGATGAAGGACAGGTTGGAAACAGAGGATGAAGGACAGGTTGGATGAAGGACAGGTTGGACGCAGAGGATGAAGGACAGGTTGGATGGTGGACAGGTTGGATGAAGGACAGGTTGGAAACAGAGGATGAAGGACATATTGGATAAAGGACAGATTGGATGAAGTACATGTTGGATGAAGGACAGGTTGGATGAAGGACATGTTGGACGCAGAGGATGAAGGACAGGTTGGATGAAGGACATATTGGATAAAGGACAGATTGGACACAGAGGATGAAGGACAGGTTGGACGCAGAGGATGAAGGACAGGTTGGACGCAGAGGATGAAGGACAGGTTGGATGAAGGACAGGTTGGAAACAGAGGATGAAGGACAGGTTGGATGAAGGACAGGTTGGACGCAGAGGATGAAGGACAGGTTGGATGAAGGACAGGTTGGACGCAGAGGATGAAGGACAGGTTGGATGAAGGACAGGTTGGACGCAGAGGATGAAGGACAGGTTGGATGAAGGACAGGTTGGACGCAGAGCATGAAGGACAAGTTGGATGAAGGACAGGTTGGACGCAGAGGATGAAGGACAGGTTGGACACAGAGGATGAAGGACAGGTTGGACGCAGAGGATGAAGGACAAGTTGGATGAAGGACAGGTTGGACGCAGAGGATGAAGGACAGGTTGGATGAAGGACAGGTTGGAAACAGAGGATGAAGGACAGGTTGGATGAAGGACAGGTTGGACGCAGAGGATGAAGGACAGGTTGGATGAAGGACAGGTTGGATGATGGACAGGTTGGATGAAGGACAGGTTGGACGCAGAGTGAAAAGTTTTAAGAAGGTGAGGAAGAAGACGTGTTCTCACCTTAATGGGGGAGATGTGGAAATGTTCGAAGAAGCTGAGTCCTGAAGCGTCGGTGAGCGACACCTCCGTCAGCTCGGACTGCAGCAGCTGCAGATCTCTCTCTAACAGGCGAGACTGAAACAAAAAGACGTGTTAGCCCTCTGTGTGCAGGTCACCTGTCAGAGATTGAACCATCAACCTGCTGCTTTGCTCTACCTTCTGTCTGTCGGCCTGGGGGTCAGCGGCAGGTGTGAACACAGCCACGATGGCTTCCAGGAAACCCTGATCGATTTTCACCGCCATCTCTTGAACCAGAGCCATGAAGTATCTGAAGTACAAACAAACAAGCATTCATCACAGTTCCAGACTGAAACATTGTGACACTCGTGCAAAGAAAACAGATCCTGGTGCAGTTGAACCAGCTGTCCATCAGGACACACTTGACAGCCGGTGTGGATCTCAGAGACCACATTTACACAGAGTCACTGAAACCTGGGAAGAACCTGAAAGTTATACGATAGAACCATCCCGAAACAGACTGAATCTGCACCTGATCTCCACCTGGTGGTGGATTGGATCAGGACACGTAAACCCAAACATGTGATGCGGCTGAATCTGTCTGAGGATCCCCCCATACCGTGGAATTGCATCCCAGGGGAGGCAGGGGATGTGGGTCTGAGTGGGTCATGTTGAGGCGGCCGTTTTGAGTTGTGGTCAGAACATCGTCCGGTGCCTGACATGGTGCCGACACCAGTGATGTGGATGCCATCAAACTGAGTCCTTTCAGGTCCAGTCGGCCAAAGAGACTTCTGAAGGCAGCTTCTGTGGTCGCTGAAGGAAAAGCTTGAGCAGGCTGTGGAGAAAGTCCAGACTGTTTTGAGCAGGGAGGGGAACTGCTGACCTGAACTCACTTGTCCTCCCCTAGAGGAGGCAGGCACAGGTGGGAGGACTGGGCGAGATTCACCCTGAGAAGGTTTAGAGCCTGGGCACTGTCTTGTTGATGCCTCTTCAGGACTGGCAGGTGTAAGGATCGAGGGCATCCTATGCTGTACCCTAAGCTCTTTCAGGAACATTTATGATTTTGGGTTCTATAAATCTGATTAAATAACTAGACCGGCAGAACTGGATGGTGGTTCACATGTTTAATAAAGGGGGACCAGAGGGCGAGCTCCAACCATCAGGATATCATTCTGTTCTGCCTCCCTGGGACAGCTTCCGTTGAACCTCTCAGGAGAACTGACTTGGATTCTGTCCTGGTCCTGGATCAGTAGACCAGCAGTTTACTCTGGCAGGGATCCTAGAGGAGCTACGGGAGTTTGTCAATCCAGTCTACATGTGTTCTGTGGAGAAGACTCAAGGCAACGTCCCCCGGGGTGTTTTGTGGGGGGATGTCAGACCCATTCTCAGTGATGGACTCCACATGGTTCTGTCACAGAACCTGATGAACAGACTGAACTCCTGAACTGAAGGTTAATTCGAGGTTTGGAGAGTGCCGGTGTGGTGACCTCTGTTTTATATCCCTGCTCTTTGCAGATGATGTGGTTCTGTTGATTTAATCAGACTCTGACCTCCAGTGAGACCTGGAACAGTGTGAAGCAGCAGGATGAGAGTCAGAACCCCCGGTCTGAGGTACAATCAACTCTAAACAGCTGATGGTTCCCTTCAGGTTGAAGTGAGCCACAGCCCCAAGTGAAGGAGCCCAACTACATGGTACATGTTAAAGCACTGTCTTGATTATAACCTGCCCCGGGACTATGGATCAGCCAACATTTACATTGATGGTGTTGTACTGGACTGTGGTGGTGCAGAGGTAGCTGAGCCCGAAGGTGGACTTCTGGTCGTGACTGAAACAATGAGATCGATAGATACATGCAGCTGAAATGAGTTTCCTTGGTGGGTTGTCCGGGCTCAGAAGTCAGCTGATGTGGTTCAGCATCTGATCTTGAATGCTTTCTGAACTCCATGTGGAGGTTTTTCAGTCCACCTGGGAGGAGACCCTGGGGCAAACCAGAACACACGGCATTGATTCCATATCCCATCAGACCTTGGATCACCTCACGATCCTCCAGGAGGAGCTGGAGGAGGTGGCTGTGCAGAAGGACGTATGGACTAACTGATTTAAACCGGACCTTTAACTGGTGCACCTGCACCAGTTAACGGATCCACCAGCACTAAACCGCTCCTTTAACTGGTCCACCTGCACTAATTAACGGATCCACCTGCACTAAACCGCTCCTTTAACTGGTCCACCTGCTCTAATTAACGGATCCACCTGCAATAAAACCGCTCCTTTAACTGGTCCACCTGCTCTAATTAACGGATCCACGTGAACTAAACCTTTTTTCAGGTTCACTTGCACTAAACTGGTCTTTTAACAGGTCTACCTGCACCGGTTTAGCCTCTGGTTGTTACTCACTTGAACTGCATGACACTGCTGTACTGGTTGAACCTGGTGATGATGGACACGTCGATGAACGGCTTCGGCTCTGTGGAGGCAGAGCTCAGAGTTAACAGAGAAAAGACGACAGGTTAACGCGTCACGTTAAAGAAGTAGAAGCAAGTAAATAAGATGAACCACCTGAGTCCAGAGCGATGGACTTCGGAGGAGGAACAGGGTGGAAGACGATGGGGAAAATGGCACCTGGCAGCTGGTTATCCACCTGCATACAGAAACCACGTCAGGCAGGTGTGCAGGTGTGCATGTGTGCACGTGTAAGTGTAGGTGCGTGTGTGTTTACCTGCAGCCAGTGCAGCTGGGCCCTCAGACTACGCTGATGCAGTGACTGTTTGTACTCCACCTGGATCCCAGACAGGAAGTTCCTCCTCACCTGGCAGGAAAACGGCTGACGCATCATCATGGTCACACCACTGAGGTTCACCTGACGACCAGTGACATCACACACTCTGACTCAGCTCATTGGACAAACGACTGAAATCTGGTAGTTACTAAAAAAATACACTCAAAATGTGTGTGTGTGGGGAGGGTCTGGATTCAGTCTGTGGGGGGTCTGGATGTCAGGATTCAGTCTGTGGGGGGTCTGGATGTCAGGATTCAGTCGGTGGGAGGTCTGGATGTCAGGCCTCAGTCGGTGGGAGGTCTGGATGTCAGGCCTCAGTCGGTGGGAGGTCTGGATGTCAGGCCTCAGTCGGTGGGAGGTCTGGATGTCAGGCCTCAGTCTGTGGGAGGTCTGGATGTCAGGCCTCAGTCTGTGGGAGGTCTGGATGTCAGGCCTCAGTCTGTGGGAGGTCTGGATGTCAGGCCTCAGTCGGTGGGAGGTCTGGATGTCAGGCCTCAGTCGGTGGGAGGTCTGGATGTCAGGCCTCAGTCTGTGGGAGGTCTGGATGTCAGGCCTCAGTCTGTGGGGGGTCTGGATGTCAGGCCTCAGTCTGTGGGGGTCTGGATGTCAGGCCTCAGTCGGCGGGGTCTGGAAGTCAAGGTTCAGTCTGTGGGTTTGTGTGTTAGCCTCTGACCTCCAGGTTGGTCTGCAGTTTGACCCAGCCCCCCTCGGTCTTCCCGCTCAGCTGACGCTGGTATGTTTCCTCCAGCAGGATGATGTTTTTCTGATTGAACGGCTTCCAGCGATTCTTTGGCTTCATCTCCCAAACCACACCTGAGCTATAACACACAGACACACCTGAGCTGGAACACACTGTAACACTCCCCACCTGTGTGTAGTCAAACCTCACGGCCCTTCACCTGTGTTTACCTGGTGATGCCGATGTAAGCGATCTCCTTCCGGCTGCTGTTGTTGATCAGGGACAGTCCCAGGTTCTGCAGCGACACCTTTACTTCTTGCTGGAACTGTTCCAGCTCCTCGGCCTGCCGAGCTTTTGTCACCACGGCGACGTCCTCGGTGAACAGCAGTACCCGCTGGCGTCCGTCCAGAAAGGAAACCCAGTGGATCTGACTCAAGTTGTCGTAGGAGAACTGACCCACCTCATCCTGAACCAAAGACCAGACACAGACTGTCAGAGTGTGATTCTGGGCTTGATTTATTGGCTTTGTGAGGAACCAGCACCAAGAGCCCTGTCACAGTTTCTAAACCATCTAAACCAGGGGTCAGCAAATAAGTCTTACATCGGGCCACATTTTTTTCAAGCCGTTACATGTTGGGCCAGAACGTTATTTCAGCCAAATTATTTTTCACACCCTTATGTGCACGTTTAGCTCAGTGGGCAGACGATGGACAGGTTGGACGTTGGAGGAGTGATCGATTGATTAGCCTACAAGGACACTTTTTCACATGCTTGCAATAAAGCATGTGCTGCAGTGCGTCCTGCTGTTTGATCCGCATTCATAACCCTGTGGACACTAATTTTCATTTCCCTGAGGAAGTTCAGGGGAATCCAATCACACGTTTACGGCGGCTTTTTCAGAGGTAAGTCAAGCTGGCTAGAGACTCTTTCGAATGTCCTTCAGAACTTGTCAAAGTAAAAGCTCTCAATAAACTCTGCTAAAAAACGTTCTCTTGCTGTTATTTTTTACGCACAATAACTTAAATGGAAGAGTAACTGGTGCTGTCATGATCTGTTTCAGCATCACCCGCTATCAATTTAATTATTTATTTTTCTGCTATGAAAACAATCTGGCTGCGGGCCAGATATTATTGCTGGTGGGCCAGTTTGGGCCCGCGGGCCGCCTATTGCCAACCACTGATCTAAACCATCTACTCGAGTCCTCCCTGATGTACCTTGTGGCTCTGGCAGGTCCGTCTGACCGGGCTCCCACTCACACAGATTTCCCGCAGGCTCATGAACCTCAGATCAAACTGTCAAACTCTGCAGTGCTGATCCAACATGGATCAAGGTTCTGCATATCTCAGTGCTGTTCAGCTGTAATGTGAGAACCGTTATTTTCCTGCTCGCTCAGTGTTACGTCACACGTTACGTTCTTGCATTGGATAGGCCTACATTTTGGTCTGCGCCCGTTGAGAACACCTTTTTCCACAGTCAGCAGACACAGAGCAACATGATCTTCCCTTCCACAGAGTCACTAATTACTTGAGGGGTTCCTCAGGGTACTGCTCTTGGTCCTTTACGTTTTTGATAGGTTAAAGCTGCCTTAATGCATTTCTTTTGCCACTTGAGGCAGCAGAACAACCTGAACCTTTCTCCGTGGAATAGAACAAGTTTTCAGTTTGTCTGACCAATAGAAGAACAGTGCCACACAGAACCCCCCCGCCAGAACATCTGTACCACAATGACCAAGCAAAACTGAGAAGTGCAAATCAAAAAACAGGCAATAGTGTCAGACCTTCAGCAGGTCCAGCTCTCCAGAATGTCCCCCGGAGCTCCAGCTGAGCGTTCGGGCGCTGGCTGGGTCGTCCCACGCAAAGCGTCGGGCTTCGTTGGGTTGTAGCTGGTGATCCATCGCTGAGCCGCTTAGAAAGGAAAAGAGAGAGGGTGGTTACCTTTCCATGAAATCGCCCAAAAATCCTAAGCAAATGAATCAACACTTGTTTCTTAATATCTTAAAGAGTGTGTGACCTGATGACATCATTAATGACATCAGCAGTAACACATCAGGACGTTTGTAGCTGCTTCCTCCTCAGATCACTGAGTACTCTGTGTGGGTGTTACGGCTGTTTATGTTCCTCTGTGCAGTTTGTCCTCTAGCTTGTAATATTAAAATGTGAATTTGACAGCAGCAACTTAAAGACAGATGATGACACCATTAATAATAGTGCCAATATTTTTGGTCGCATCACGTATCACGTATTTTACCTGACCTTTCCACGATGTGTTAGCACGTGTGTTAAAAGAGCTGGGACCTCTCCGCCTTTGTGTACCTCCATGAGCGAGAGATGCACTGTCAGGGTCCTAGGGGGTTTCAGCAGAAAGCTACCCACCCTGGATAAGGGAGAAAAGGGCCCCTCCTGGAGCCAGGCCTGGGCAGGGAGCTTGCTATCAAGCTCCCTGCTGGGCCTACACCCACGGGACCCGGCCTACACCCACGGGACCCGGCCTACACCCACGGGACCCGAGCTGTGAAACTCAAGGGATGAGAAACGTGTGTGTGTTTTGACCTCTGACCTTTGCCGGTAGCTGATGGTGACCCAGGGCGTGTGGTTGACCAGGAGGGCCGGAGCTGCTCCGTCATAGTAATCGCTGAAGCTGATGATGGTGGCGAGATCGGAGATGTTGACATCCACGATGATCCCACCGCACTGAAAACACACACACACACCTGAAACGTACTCAACTCTCAGAGTAAAATCAGCTCATGTGATTGGTCCAGCAGAGACACTCACCATGTCGAGGCTCAGCACGGTGCCGTTGTCCTGTCGGTTAAAGAAGAAGTACTTGGAGGTGGATTCAGATCCGACCACACGGACACACAACTTCCCCGAAGTGTTCTCCGGCCACAGAGGGAGGCACTGCAACACAACAAGTATGAACAACACTCTCAGGCTGCTACTGTACTTGGTGCTGACGTGCTCCCACAAATAAACCAGAATCTTAGAGCAACAATGGTCAAAACCTGGTCCTCACTACGTCTCTTTATCAGTTACCTCGACACATGATGCCCTACCTGGTTATCAGAGTAACAGAAACACACACATAAGAGAAAAGACGTCTCCATCGAGAGCTGTGACATCGAGGTCGGATCAGATTTAGATCTAACCTCAAAAGATTCAAGTGGATCCAGAATCTGAAAGACGACTGATTCAAAAACAAGTTCACTAACAACACAGTCTGAAGCTGTCTGACTGGACGTGCTCACTGTAGTGCTCTCTGGGAGTTGTAGTTGTCTGATGCTGACTGTCTGTGAACAGGATCCATATTCACCTCTGTGGTGGCGATGTAGTGCCACCTGGTGGAGGTCTGGCTGGTCACTTCTCCCACCTCCAGCTCATAGGACGTCTTGTTGACCAGAGTGTAGAATGGACTCATGGTGACGATCCTGGTCAGGTTAAAACTGCTCATCTGGATACTGACGCCCACCTGGACACATACAAACAGTCTAACTAGTGCTGCAAGAAATATTTCTTTTATCAATCTGTCGATTATGTCCTCAAGTCATCTGTTACACGTTTGGTCTATGAGATCCATCACGAAACCCAGCTTGATTTATATCCAGTACTGCAAAGACAGAAGATCACAGAGGGCTAAAAATCCATGACTCTTCTCACAGCCGTCGCCTTAGCTTCCTGCTGGTGATGAACTGGTAATGGTTTCAGCTTCTCCTGGCCTCTTCTAATCTGATGTGATCAGTTCTGGAGTTTTTTTTTTTTTTTTTAATAGTATCACACACTCTTCATCAGCAGCTCACTTTTCATGGAACTGTAGGCGTTCACCACCAACAGTCTGCGGATGAAGACTGTGTGATCCGGGTCGAAAGCTGAACGAACAGGCGAGTAAATGGACCTCAGCTAATGTGATCTGACTAATCTGATTTAATCTGATGGACAGCACAACAACACAAACCTCTGCACTGCACAGAGACACCGAGTAAGGTTTTAGTTACCAGGAAGTCCATGTTGTTAGCCGGACAGCGAACGCAGCCGTAACTTCCCACGGTGTCCAGAGAGAAACCTTCAGACCAGGAGCTGGTGGACACACACAACTGGAGCTGCAACGAACCACACACACGCGTCAGAACAACACACCGACTACTGCTGTCAAAATAACCCCGCAGTGAACAGGATGCTGACGCTAACCTCGCTGCATGGTGATGGTACACATCATGGCCGGGTTTGTTTTTACTCTTTAGGTACAGGTAGAGGCACAAAATTGGGTCAAACCACAGACGGTATTAAACATGGACGTAGTGAGAAGTGTGTTTTACAGCAGGCATTTAAAAGGGGAATCTATGGGGATCCGCTCGCCAGCCTCAAGTGGCCATTCAAGGAACTGCAGGTAGGATGTGACCTGGGTTTGTCTGGTCATTCAAATCTAACGCGTTTCTTCTCTAGAGAGCAGGAAATGGATGGAGATCTAGCTGATGGTTGCAGGGGTGACTATTATCGGATGGACGTTGCCTCAGCCACAGATATTTGCCTCTGTAGACTCGATGTGGGAACTCTGAATCTGTCCAAGTGTCTTTCTCACCTTGTTCTTGCTGAAGAGGTTCTTTTTCCTGAAAGAGAACAGGAAGATGTCTCGGCAGTCGGCCGGGTGTTTGAAGCTGACGTCCTCTGCTCTGTACTGCAGCACTCGAGAAGTTTTGTTGATGATCCAGTACGGGCTGAAGAGTGACAGCAGCAGGCGGCTCGCCGTCCTCGTCACGTGAACGCTCACATCCACCGTCACGTTGGTGTCCGAGTCACACGTGAGACACACGGCAAAGAACTCCGGCATTTCCTGTTCGACACGAAGATGTCCGTGCCAGTCGCGGCCCTGATACCTCATCAGCACCAACGACATGATCTCACCTGAGACACGAGCGTTCAGGAGGTCCGACGTGCTTCCTTCCTGAAGCTCATAAGTGTCTGCTGAGTTCTGAGGAGGGAGAGACCAGATCAGACCAGATCAGATCAAAGCAGATTCAGATCTAACTGAACCTAATCAATCATCGTGCTTTGATTATCTGTTGTTGACTCTCTTCTGCTTCTTTCTGTGTACCTCCATCAAGTAGCGGACGGTGTAGGGCAGCAGGTTGCGTAGCGTGGCCACAGGGTGGAGGTGGATGACGTAGGCGGGGTACCAGTCTTCCTCTCCGTGGCTGGCGATGTGTCGCAGGTCGTCGGGGACAGCCAGCGTGCTGACCATCAGCGGCAGCAGGCTGCTGTCGGCCGCCGGACACTGCAGCACCGAACGCACCTCCGAGCTGCGGTGCACCTGCTCCTTCCACGCCACGCAGGTGGAGGACGGACCGTACTGAGCCTCCAGACGACCCGCCGGACGTACAAACAGCTGACATCTGGAAGGGAGGAGGGTAAAGTTTTGTGACTACACGGTCAACATCTACTGCACCCCTGGCGCCAGAGGAACTACACACCGTCAGCAATTCAGTCAAACAGCCAATCTGCCGGTTCAACTAAAACTAAATCCACCTGAAAGAGACCTCTCGCTCTTGTTCGCTCTCTTTTTAAGAAGCAATCACGAAGCTGACGCCTACCTTTGCCCATGCTGTCTGGATAATATAACAGCTGTTCTTTTTTACTCTGGTGTGTAAACAGACGTAATGTTTAGCGCAGTAGAGAGCGTCTATGTGAACATGAAAAAAATGAAACTACAGAGATGGAAAGTGACACCACGCTCACGGTGCGGCGTGTTCCCTTGTTGCCCTGAGCAAGGCAGCGCGATGGTACCTGTATGTTTCTAAGGCGATGTGAAACTCTTTCTCAGGTTCGGCCTGTCCGACGCTCTGCAGGCTCCTGGACTTTGGACAGTACATCAGGATGGTGAACGGCACAGAGAAGTGATTCTTTATCTGAAAACACAAACAGAGACAAAAAATGAACCTGTTGCCGGTTCAGCAACAACATATTAGACTTTCAGAGAACTATGTTTGGGATTCGGACCTGCAGCGGCGAACGGACAGTGATGACCTTGTTGCCCTCTGCAGCGTCGATCTGCAGCAGCACAGAGACCGCCTCCGGTATCAACGGACTACGGATGTTGTAGAGACGTCGACCCGGTTTGTCTACAGCGATGTTGGAGATCTCGCTGTATCCGGAGGGAACTGTGGGTTCAGAGACACGTTAGCCAATTTGAATCTTTATTCTCACACAGTTATACAGATTCATAGATAAATAAAACTGCTACTATCCAAATGTCCTGCTAGACTGTGGTTCTGATGTTTAGAGCACCTCCAACAACATCACTGTGGCTAATGGTATCCGTCTATTATTATCTAAGCGTTAGCTCCTTTTCTCTGGAAGAACCTTCCTGCTGAATCCTGCTGCATGAGACCGTCTGACTCTGCTGAGGCCTTTAAATCTCAGCTGAAACCTTTTTGCTTTAGTCAGTACTTCCTTATATACACGCAGCAGGTAAAATATGTTGCAGAAAGAGACTGTAGTGAAGGGGAAGCGTTCTGACCGATGGTGAGGTGGAACAGGCAGCTCTCTTGCCGCTGCAGAGCTGACAGTTTGCCCCGTGATGACGGCTCGAACACAGAGTACTCCAGGTCCATGCTCTGATCCACGGACAGCTCATGTATCCGTCCCTGCGCTGATGACCCCACCGGCCTCAGGTTGCTGCTGTGCTGCACGATGAGAGGAATCCCAAGAGAGTTTCTGATGGTGAAGGGGGCTTTCTCTTTCAAAGAGGAGTCGAAGGTGGAGGCTGTGCCCTCTGAGAACACCTGATCAAAACAAGGGCAAATGATTAATGTTCAACTGCTGCTGTTCATACACTGAATGAACAGTTGGTGTCTCAGAACACAGTAACTTCAGGAGTTTCTATTGTGTCTGGTTCTGCTTTTGTTTCTACTGTTCCTGAACCTAAATGTCAGCTCTGCTCAGGAGGTGCTAGTAAATCCTAGGTCAGGTACTCTCAGGGGACGGATCCAACAGCTCCATGTGTAACATGGCAAACATCACAGTTAATAACACAAGAAACATGTGGACTAGGGCTGGGTGATATATCAGTATAATGAGGACGTTATAATGTGTACCTTGTTGAGGTGGCGGAAGACGTTAAGATGTGTACCTTGGCGAGGTGGCGGAAGACGTTAAGATGTGTACCTTGGCGAGGTGGCGGAAGACGTTAAGATGTGTACCTTGTTGAGGTGGCGGAAGACGTTAGGATGTGTACCCTTGGCGAGGTGGCGGAAGACGTTAAGATGTGTACCTTGTTGAGGTGGCGGAAGACGTTAGGATGTGTACCTTGTTGAGGTGGCGGAAGACGTTAGGATGTGTACCTTGTTGAGGTGGCGGAAGACGTTAGGATGTGTACCTTGTTGAGGTGGCGGAAGACGTTAAGATGTGTACCTTGTTGAGGTGGCGGGAGACGTTAGGATGTGTACCTTGTTGAGGTGGCGGAAGACGTTAAGATGTGTACCTTGGCGAGGTGGCAGGATACGTTAGGATGTGTACCTTGGCGAGGTGGCGGAAGACGTTAGGATGTGTACCTTGTCGAGGTGGCGGAAGACGTTAGGATGTGTACCTTGTCGAGGTGGCGGAAGACGTTAGGATGTGTACCTTGTCGAGGTGGCGGAAGACGTTATGATGTGTACCTTGTCGAGGTGGCAGGAGACGTTAGGATGTGTACCTTGTCGAGGTGGCGGAAGACGTTAGGATGTGTACCTTGTCGAGGTGGCGGAAGACGTTAGGATGTGTACCTTGTCGAGGTGGCGGAAGACGTTATGATGTGTACCTTGGCGAGGTGGCAGGAGACGTTAGGATGTGTACCTTGGCGAGGTGGCGAGAGACGTTAGGATGTGTACCTTGGCGAGGTGGCAGGAGACATTAGGATGTGTACCTTGGCGAGGTGGCAGGAGACGTTAGGATGTGTACCTTGGCGAGGTGGCGGAAGACGTTATGATGTGTAACTTGTGGAGGTGGCGGAAGACGTTATGATGTGTACCTTGTCGAGGTGGCAGGAGACGTTAGGATGTGTACCTTGGCGAGGTTGTACAAGACGTTGATGCTGCACTGGGAGACGGTGATGTTCATGGTGTCTTTGGAGCAGATGCTGATGGCTGTGCGAGGTTCAGGAAGAATGACGAAGTCGTCTCCGTGAACGGGACTCTTGTCCTGGACCGGGTTGTTCTTCATCTGCAGGAACAAAGACAAAGACAATGCTTATCAGGTGTTTTTGTAATTTGGATCTAACTAATTTAACAATCATCATCTGCTGGCGCAGACTCCAGATCTAACACCGACCTTATCCTGCGTGCACTTTACTAAAGACACCTGTACTGGACTGGGTTTCCTCCCATAGTCCAAAGACATGCAGGTGACATGAAGACTCTAAGTAAGCAGGCACAGATAATGAATGGATACATAAAGGGAAAAACTAGTCCATGCATATGTTCCTTCTATCCTGGATTACTGCAGTTCCTTATTATCAGGCTGAATAAGTCCCTTTAGACTCTCCAGTTGATCTAGAACGCAGCGGCACATGTTCTGACAAGAACCAGGAAAAGAGATCTTGTTTCATCTGTTCTAGCTTCTCTGCAATGGCTCCCTGTAAATGGAGGCTTTCAGCCGACCTCGAAGAGGTTCTGGCAAACCATCGGATGACTTAGAAGAGGGACGGGACTTAGCCTAGACTGTTTTCGGCAAGGAGGAGAACTGCTGACCCTGATTGAGGATCTTGTTGGATGGTGGATGAACTCCTGATGAATGAGTCCTCCATAGAGGAGACAGAGATTCAGGGGAAGACCCGTCCGTTTTCCTGGAGGTCACTGAGGAAGTTAAGAAACAGACACGCCCTGATACGCTGAACCTTCTGGACACTGTTGGACTGTCCTTGTCTCTCCAGTGTCCACTTTCTGACAACAAGATCTCAGTATACCTTCCTACAGAGGGCCCCGTCAACACATACGTATTCATTCATTCAGTGACATCCAGTCTTCTATGCCAACACAGTTCAACCCATCAGCATGGCACAGCTGATGGGGATAAGGGGTGGTCCGTCGGCCCATCAGAACCGACTGCAGAGACGTCAGTCCTTCTCAAATCTATAAGATACTCTCCACCGTTGCCGTTCCAACACTCCGGGCTGAGAAATAGTAAATGTGTACTTCCTGGCTGACTCTGACTGCAGACCAACAGGTGACTCCGGGCCGGATCAGTGCTGACCATAGAAACTGATTCTTTCTGGGGAGTGCTTACACTGGAACTGTTCTGGACACCGAGGCAAATTTTCTGTAAATACTTCATTTGATTATTTTGGGGACTCATCAGAAGGGAATGGATATTTTGAATGAACTTCAGACCTTCTTTTGGGAGGACAGAACTGTCTGAAACCTCAAAGTGTTCATGGATTTAGACATTGCTTATACTGCAGAACAGGCTGAAACTGTGTCTGTATTATTTCTTATGGCTGCAAACGGTATATTGCATTTTGGTGTTACTGTCTGGTGATGGTGCAGGTGCTGGGATGTGATTGGTTGATTGTAACTGATTTATTTGTCAGATGTGATTCTGAGCGGCCTCAATGACAAAGTGCATCAGGAACAACGTCCAGGTTCAGTAGAGGACAGTGTAAACGCCAGGGACAGCAATTTGAACAGCTCCAAGAGATTTAATGTACCAGAAACAAAACATCTGCAGCTTACAAACACAAAGGTAAAAGAGAAGGGGTGGAGCAGCAGCTAATGGCTAACAGCTAGTAGGTTTACCTCGAGCTGCAGGTTCCATCTGCGTTTGCCACTGTCAACTCGTTCGATCAGAGGCTCCCACACTGCATGAAGCTCATTAAAGTAGTTAACCTGCAGACACACATGTCAGCAACACACATGATGAAACATCTGGCTCAGATTCAGGTGTGAAGGACCGGCTCACGTCTAAAGGACCAGGCCTTACCTCCAGCGTCATGTCGGCTGTCAGCTGCAGCAGAGACGACCAGTTTTTGGCCGATCCATTGAAGGAGGACTCGGCCAGCAGCAGAGGGACGGTCCGATGACCCAAACCGGACTCCAGAGTCACCTGGACCACCTGTGGGGCGACAACACATCATCAACAGGAAACAGATCCACCCACCTCATTCTAAAAAACTAAAATGTTTATTCTGAGATGTTGTACCTTGACCTCTGCAGCAAAGCTCTCGCCCTCGTTGTGTCCGTCCTGCTCTCTGAAGTTCTCGGTGACCTCGGCAGCCTGGTCCACCCCCAGGAACCAGAAATTACAGCCGTAGATGTTCATGACCGACCAGAGGTCGTCGACGCCCGGCCTTAACTCCTGACTCTGCTCGTCACACTGCTTTGCCGTCATGGCGGCTGTTATTGTCATCACCGTGTTGAGGATGAACGGTGAGATCTGCAGGACAAAGACCCGCTGATGATGAGTACATTGTTGGCCCACCACCTGGAACTGGTCTTCGCTGTTTCTTTATGACGACACACTGATATCACCGTGAGGCCAGCCAATGGTCAGACGGGTTTTAAACAAGCATTTTAAAATCTGATTACATCCATTTATACATTTTTACAAACTGAGACAAATGAACGGACCTTGATAATGACTTCCTCCACCATCACAGAGCCGCTCAGTCCTTGGTTAGCGTGGGTTTTGGTTTCCAGGGCGAGTGAGCAGGGTCTCAACACCTGTTGGAAAGAGTCAGACTGACCTTCAGCATAAAGCAGACGGACTGAATAATAGAAGATTGTTTCACATGTTTACTGTCCAGCTTCCTGTGGTTTCACTACAGATGACAAACTCAAACTAGAACAGCTAACTGTGAGTAAACAGCTCCCCCTGTTGGAGACTGTAGTCTGAACAACATGGGACACTTTTCAGTTCACATGGAAAATATTGTGTTAAAGCACCACTTGTGGATTCATCCGCCAGAGAAAATAGTCCCCCAACAAATGAACCACTTCTTCCTGTTTGTTTGATAGAAAATTACAGAAATGAAAGTGCATCTGTGAGGTGTTCCTACAGAAGATTTACGTTTTCAGGAGGAACAAGCTGGTTCAGAGCTGACAGGCAGTAAAACTCTTCATGAGGATGTCTTGCCAGGCCGTAGTTCTAAATAGGACTTTTGTTCTTAACTAACCTGCCTGGATAAATAAAAAAATTTGAAAATGACAGACACAGTGTTTGTTTGTAATGATAAAAAATATAGAATTAAAAAAGACTGGTCTTTAAATCTTAAGACCTTCTGTGACCCCACATGTGACCCCCACGTTCATGTGACCTTACAGTGGTAACAGCCTTGTCCTTCTTGTTTTGGATGAACGGGCAGGCCAGGACTTTCAGCTCCCTCAGGTTGGCTCTCATGTTCTGGGTAGCGTCCTCCTCGGCCTGCAGGGTCAAGTCACACTGAAATGAGGCCACGAGAGCGGGGGCGTCCGCTTTCATCAGGCTGGCTACAAACACCACCTCTGGGTCCACCACCACCGCCCGAAGACGAGTCCTGACCATCGAGACTGCAGAGAGAAGACCAACAGGTGGTCTGGTTTCAGTCTACATTCTACTGTGGGTTTATGTCTGTCTTTACTTTCACTTTACTGATGAATAAAATCTAATCTGCTACTTCTTCACCTGTGACCAGCTGAACCAAAGAGGGATTTGAGGCAGTAATTCAAAAAGCAAAGATTAAAACAAATTCCCACAAAAAAAAACTGTGTTCAGAAGGACTGTTGCTCATCTACAAGCTGTCAGATTCATCTTTAGATCCAGTTAGGGGGTCCCAACCCCTTTCCACAGTATTCATTTGTGATTATCATGTTTTAAAATCTGATGCTCATTTTTTTTTTTAAATAAGCAGCCCGGCCTTGTGTTAGTGTGGATCTCTTGGTCTAACCGGTCTTGGCGTCGGCTCGCGGCTCGGCAGTCTGTCTCAGTGGCAGTCTGTCGCTCGGTGCAGAGGCGGTGGTCCGAGTGGAACTCTGTGGCAGAGCCTGCAGAAAGAAATCTGCGACGGCCATCAGAAACTCCACGCTGGCACACAGGTAGAGTTTCTGCAGGACAGCCACCACCTCCCGTTCTGCAGCACTCTGTCGATACGTCACCTCCACCATGGCCTCGGAGCTCTCCTCGTCTCTCCGCCCCACCATGCTGAGGAAACAGGAAACACAGCAGGGAAAGTTAAGGACGTAACGCAGGGACTTCACTGAGAATGAGACCATTATCAGTAGGATAAACACTGATTGATAACAGCCACAGATTTACGGGTGTCACTACAAACCACTGCTAGTTTTTGTTCTAAATGCATCCAAAATCTAATTTATTTATGGATGTAAATTTAGTGTAAAGACAAAATACAATTTTACATGTTTTCTAATAAAGTGAGGTTTAAAACAAGCTGTTCTGTAATAAAAGACTTTTACTGCAGCGGTGCCGTTTCCTATCCAAACAAACACTCAGCTGCAGAAGAGAAAGTCCTTTTCAATCTGCCTGCTCAAAGTCTTCAGATCACTTCTTCTCTGAAAGAAGTCTCAGAGGTCATGTGACTCACCGTGAGGTCACCCTGTCCATGCCTGTCCTCATGTCGTCCAGCGTGCAGGCGCTGAGGACAGTGGACACCTCCATGCTGCCGTTGGCCAGGATCTTCCCTGAAGTCTTCAGCAGGTGGAGCGCGAACTCGCCCAGTCTCAGGTTCTTCTGGTGCTGCAGGTCCAACGGCTGACGGAACAGGAACAACAATCAGAGTGCTGATCCTGGACCAGCTGGTCCTGATTCAGATCACCTAAGCCCCAAAGACCTCCAAACACGTAGCCGGCCAGACGCTTCGAACGTCCGGCATGGCGGTTCAGTCCAACCCGGGTACGAGAGAGTGATGGCATTTATCTCAGGAAGTAAGGAGGGAAAGATTTCACGCTCGTGACCTGAAGAACGAGGACCAGCAGCGGAAGCAGGACGGACCAGAGTACTGACGGTACCAAGGGGATTTTGGGATTACATCAATTAATAAATACAAGGTTATAAACGTATGTAGCTCTGGCACACTTGAAGAAGAAGCAGAAGAAGAAGAAGAAGCAGAAGAAGCAGAAGAAGCAGAAGAAGGAGCAGAAGCAGAAGAAGCAGAAGCAGCAGAAGCAGAAGAAGCAGAAGCAGAAGAAGCAGAAGAAGCAAGCAGAAGCAGAAGCAGAAGAAGAAGAAGCAGAAGAAGAGAAGCAGAAGAAGAAGAAGAAGAAGCAGAAGAAGGAGCAGAAGCAGAAGCAGAAGAAGCAGAAGAAGAAGAAGAAGAAGCAGAAGCAGAAGAAGAATCAGAAGAAGAAGCAGCAGAAGAAGAAGCAGAAGAAGAAGAAGCAGAAGAAGCAGCAGAAGAAGCAGAAGAAGCAGAAGCAGAAGCAGAAGAATTTCCAATGCAGGTATAAAAGTCCTTAACCACGTTATTAAAGCCATCTCTTTACATACTGACTGGGTTTGTGAATGGCACTCATCACAGGCTCCTTTAAATTACTGTGGTTCTTCCAGGGGGAGGAACTGATCGCATGACCCCAGCCCGGTTTATTAGTGCTCATTAAAGAATCCTCATCAGCGTACATAATAATACCTGGATTATTGTGCAGAGATGGTTTAGGATGAAGGTCAGACATTAAAGAGCTGGTCTTCCAGCAGCTGTACTGACTGACCTGTTTTGGGTCATTGCTGTACAGAATCAGACCAAGAGACTCGATGGTGAAGTTAAACTTCATGGTCTCCACAGCTTCGTCCTCCTCTTCGTCACTGCTTCCAGCGGGCTTCCCAGCATCCCCTGAACTCAAACACAGACCACATCAGCAGCTGAGACACAGAAGGAGCTTCTACATACATGAACATCTGTGGACATGGATCGGTCCTGGCAGACCTGCAGGGGGGCCTCCGGCCGCCCGGAGCTGCACGCTGGCCTCCTGTCTCGGGGCGGGAGGCTCCAGACCACCAGCCTCTCCCAGATTCTCCATCAGGATCCTGAGCAGCACCGTCAGGTCGTCCTGGCTCAGCTCCACCTACAGGCCCGGCACGGACACAGAACTTAGTACAGACTGAGGGATCATCGTTAACCTGTCAGCACACCTGGTTACTGTTACTGCTGCTCCCTCAACCCAAACAGAACAAAGACACTGGGTGGGTGGGTGTGTGTGGTGGTGGGGGGATTACAGGGATCATCAGACACACCAGGAGCCCCTCAACACTGATCCTGAAGGGGACGTCTACAGACTCTCAGGTGTGGGTTCACTACAGACCAGCTGCCTTCAGGTTTCACTACAGAGGAGACTAGTGACGCTACACTGCTCCAGAACCAGGCTCAGAGGGAACCGTACCTTTGGGGATGTACGAGTCGACTGGTTGCAAAAAGAAGAGCAGAGGAGTTAGAGACCGTCTGCAGGGAGACAGTGAGCTCAGACAGCAGGTTAAATATGTGGCGTTGGTCTTTATGATGCTGGTGGAGGTGGTCTATGATTCAGGTCTACCTCAGCAGGAAACCCACGACTACAGGAGACGTTCCAGTCAGCTGTTAGCCTGGGCCTCCTGGTTTCTTAAAACCACCATCAGCCTGGGCCTCCTGGTTTCTTAAAACCACCATCAGCCTGGGCCTCCTGGTTTCTTATAACCACCATCAGCCTGGGCCTCCTGGTTTCTTATAACCACCATCAGCCTGGGCCTCCTGGTTTCTTATAACCACCATCAGCCTGGGCCTCCTGGTTTCTTATAACCACCATCAGCCTGGGCCTCCTGGTTTCTTATAACCACCATCAGCCTGGGCCTCCAGGTTTCTTAAAACCACCATCAGCCTGGGCCTCCTGGTTTCTTATAACCACCATCAGCCTGGGCCTCTTGGTTTCTTATAACCACCATCAGCCTGGGCCTCCAGGTTTCTTAAAACCACCATCAGCCTGGGCCTCCTGGTTTCTTATAACCACCATCAGCCTGGGCCTCCAGGTTTCTTAAAACCACCATCAGCCTGGGCCCTCCAGGTTTCTTAAAACCACCATTAGTCTGGGCCTCCTGGTTTCTTAAAACCACCATCAGCCTGGGCCTCCAGGTTTCTTAAAACCACCATCAGCCTGGGCCTCCAGGTTTCTTATAACCACCATCAGCCTGGGCCTCCTGGTTTCTTATAACCACCCTCAGCCTGGGCCTCCTGGTTTCTTATAACCACCATCAGCTTGGGCCTCCAGGTTTCTTAAAACCACCATCAGTCTGGGCCCCCTGGTTTTCCTGGCCTTCCAGCCCATCAACACTCCCCCCTCACCTTCATGGGCTTCAGATGTCCATCGACCTCCACAGCGACCATCTTCTTGTACCAGGAAGCAGCCAGGTTCCTCTTAATGTTCAGGTTCAGGTTTACCGGTTCCAGAAGCTCACTGCAGGGTCGACACGTCGCCGGGTCCATAAGGGTCCTGATAGACAACAGAGTTTACATGTTCACTGAGCAAGATTACACATGGACCAGGATCAGGGGACAAGGGGGACAGTCATAGTAAAAGTTGGAATGGTTCAGAGTTTCTGAGCTCGTCCCGGGTTGCAGTAAAGAAGGGACTGGAGGAACATGATCTGTAGTCCAGACTAAACCCTAAAGTCTTTGGTTTCATGTGATTTTCTGTGGTTCTGGTGCAGATCTCAAATCTGAACAGGACTAACTGACCTGGAGAGTTTGAGTTGCGTCAACTGGACGTCCATGTTGTCGATGACGGCCGGCAGCGGGCATCCATCGACGGGTAGCAGAGAGAAGCTGTTTCCCACCGTGATCAGACCCAGGTCCATCACAAGTGCATCATGGGAGGTGGAGGACTGGGGGATGACGATGAGCGGAGCCTTCAGCTTGATGTCCATGGCCAGACGGAAACTCTTCTGCGCAAAGTCTCGAACGCTGGACGCCGCCTTCTCCGCCGCCTGAGCTGTGGCGGCGCTCAGAGCTTCTTTAGCCATCTGGAAGTTGTTGGCGAAGTTCTGAACGAAAAGACGTAAACAATGAAAACCGTTATGAACTAAATTTAAACCTAAAAAAACTGCATTAAAATGTCTTTATTCACCAAAAACTGAAATAATACTAATTATAAAAAAACAGATTTCACCTGTTTTACAAACTATGATGCTTCAGAGATGATCAGGGAGCATAAACATATAAACTCAATGTCCTCGGTTCGATTCCCAGCTGCGGCACCATATTTCCTGTCTGTATCTCTGCTATAATCCAAGCCTGTGAAACTCTCCCAGGTTCCAACTACCTGCTTCTTATTAAAAATCTCAAACTCACCAGCAGAGACACGATGAACTTGTGCAGGTAAACCACCTGGATGCAGCCCACGTTCAGCTTCACCCTGCCGTCGGTTTTGGAGGTGTCGGCGTAGCCGGCGCCCTCTGTGGCGTTGGGCGTCAGACTCATGGTGAAGCTGAACACCTCATCACCCACGATGGAGATGGCCTGAAGGACAGAAGAGTTCAACGACAGCAGTATAGACAATCCAGGTCCGTCTGTTGTAGACCGGGACAATTTAGACGAGTCCAGCATACTCTGAGTATGCCAAAGGAAGTATGAGGTATTATAATGTAGTACTGGAGTCCAGTGAAGTCTGTGGTAGTCCTTCAATAACAGGACATTCAGTACCTAGAAAAACGTGTACTGTCATGTCTTCAGAGTTTTGGTATTGACTTGGTACTGAAGTATCAGCCCATGGTAGTAAATAGTCCTTGGCAGTCCATGGTAGTCTGAGTATGTCAACAGTAGTCTAAAGTAGTGTAATGTAGTCTTGGACCCAGGGTGGTGTGTGGTTGTTCATGGTAGTCTGAGGGGAATGATTCTGTTCAGGGGTGGTCTAGGCTGATCTGAGTACTCCCAGGTAGTATCCTCAGGGTACTTTAGTGGGGATTTTAGTGTCATCTGTGGCAGCACAGGGTAGTCTACAAGAGTCTGGGGCACTCCAGGGTGGTCCAAGGAAACAGGTTCAGGTTAGTCTGGGAAAGTCTAGAGTCGTCCGTGGTTGTTTGTTTTATTCATACGTCATCTGGGCTTCAAAAACTCTCTCATATGGTGCTTTAATACCTTCTTGTGGATGCTTCTGGGATCAACGTTGAGGACGATGAAGTCTCTCAAGCGGGCCGATATGTCAGTTTGTGGTCCTTGCACCAGCAGAGAGCCATTAAGACCTGCAGGACACATCAAACGGTTAGGGTTGGTGCTGACCAATGGACAGCAGACAAAAACTCACGATTCAGTACCTTGGATCTTGATGTCAGCCATGTTGCAGCTTTGGTCGCAGACCAGGACGTTGAAGGCTCCCAGCGTCATCGTCACCTTCAGGTCGATGACCTCGCTGTCTGCCGGTGACACCAGGGCAGCTGGCAGGAAACAACACAACACATTAAAGCCGGTCCGCCATGCTGAGTCTGTTTTCACTACATCATGAGGGAATGCTGTACTGACTGGACTTGGTGGAGACCGTCTTGTCCTCTGTCCTCGGTCTGATCTCCTTCTCTGGAGACGTCACGCTGCTGGACGACAGCGCAATCGACAGAAAGTTGATGGCTGACAGCAGAGCCTCAGTGTGGAGCATGAGGTCCAGAGAGGTGAAGGTTACCTAGAGAGAGAGGCGTTATCTCCAGGTCAGCTACCACGCAGGGTGCTGTGTTCAGAGGGGATCGAACCTGTGACCACCCGCTCTACCTGTCGGCAGGACTAACTTACAGAGTGCTTTCAAAGGCACTTCTTGGAAAATGTTGTCCAGACCATTAAAATAAATCACTCGGCTGCACTGCCATCGCTCATCCCACCACCAGGTGGAGCCAAAGAGTTTTATTTCCCACTCTAACATTAACTGAGTGTGAGTGTGTCAGTGTGCGTGTGCGTACAGACTCACGTTGATCATCTGTTCCGTGTTCTTGTGCACTGTGCAGAAGTTCGGCCCCGAGCGGTCGGCCTGAGAAAACGGTCAAACAAACAGGAAGTTGAAGTTGATTGAAAACACTGAATCATCTCCTGCTCTGGGCGATGACAGCACACCTGTGCATCTCAACAGGTAATCAGATCATTGCTGATGTCATCACCTTGAAATACTGCACTTTGAGCAGTTCAGCTCCAGACTCTACCGAGGAGCTGATGAGACACAACGGCTCGCCGCTGGAGTCTGAAACAAGACAAACATCACATCATCATACTGCTATACGTTTATGTTTGATGACATGTACACCTGCAGCTTCCTGTCCAAACAGGAAGTAGCTGGGACACCACAGAAGGGGCAGTTTTATACCCCACAGGAACATTGACAGAGGACGAGTATTACTGAACCCGCTGAGAGGCTCTGACCTTCGAACTCCAGGCACTTCATGGTGATCTTGTTGATGTACGTCGTGGCACACATGTCGTACTTCCTGACTTCGGTGTTGATGCCCAGGTGAGCGACATGAAAGACCAGGAAAGGTGACTCCTTCTGCTCTCTGGGCTTCTTTAGGGTCAGCAGCACCTTCAAGAGGAAACAGGAAACAGAACATGTAAAATAAGGTCGGCAGAGCGCCGCCATGTTGGAGGAACAATCAGAGAGTCGATGGGGATGAATGGTTTCTGATCGGACCGGACCGGCAGCTACAATATCAGGTGAGCTGTTCCTGATCGGACCGGACCGACAGCTACAATATCAGGTGAGCTGTTCCTGATCGGACCGGACCGACAGCTACAATATCAGGTGAGCTGTTCCTGATCGAACCGGACCGGCAGCTACAATATCAGGTGAGCTGTTCCTGATCGACCGGACCGACAGCTACAATATCAGGTGAGCTGTTCCTGATCGGACCGGACCGGCAGCTACAATATCAGGTGAGCTGTTCCTGATCGAACCGGACCGGCAGCTACAATATCAGGTGAGCTGTTCCTGATCGGACCGGACCGACAGCTACAATATCAGGTGAGCTGTTCCTGATCGGACCGGACCGGCAGCTACAATATCAGGTGAGCTGTTCCTGATCGGACCAGAAGCTACAATATCAGTTTGTTTTATTTTTAGGATTTCTGATGTCAGACTCAAGTGATGGGAGGGGGACAGCTTTGTCCGGTCCGAACTTCGACTGACAGGAGGAAGACGTCTTTTCTATATTGTCTCGGTTTGCAGAGAAAAACCTGAATCCAGCTCGTCACAGCATTTAAAGATTTTTACCTCTTTGATTTCAAAATTGAGGAGAACGTTGACGGTGTTTTCAGTCAGACTCATGGTGGTGGTGGCGGCCAAAGCTGATCCCGTCTGTAACGATACCAGCTCCACCGGCTGCTGAGCAAGCTCCGCCTTCTCTGAGGAGGAAATGAGGTCATTAACAAACACATTCCACCGTCTCCAGAGCTTCATTCAGTGTCTGACTAATCAGGTTAGGCTGCACACTGAACCAAACAGTGATTATCGTGTTGATGTAGGACAGGTAGATTTCCCATCATGCACTGAGAGTAAAGTTACCTTGAGCCACCTGTCTTTTGACATCCATGCTGTGCTCTTTACTCCCCTCCCCGATGTTCTCCACCAGGACCATCATCAGCACCCCGAGGTCTTCCTCGCCCAGACTCATCTGACAAACACACGACACCGTTTCACGTCTTTTTCTGAAGAACTGATCCATCACAGTTTAAACAACAACAAACACGCAAGACCTACGTTGAGGGACCGCAGGACCCCCTGGACCTGGACTCCAGGAAACTTGGTGAACCAGGAAGCAGCCAGGTTCCTGGTGACGAGCAGCTGTAAGTTGATTGGCTGGAGGATCTCAAAGTCAGGCTGAGAGGAGTCTTGTTTCAGCGTGGTTCTAAAAACACAAGTATCCAGAATTTACTCAGCTTTCTGTTTCTGTGTTTGGTCATCTGCATGTTTCAGTGCAGCTCGGATGTTGTGAAAACGCTTCCTGTTGGTGTGTTCAAGGACGCTCAGACACCGAAACAGAAACAGCCACTTCACTCTCTCCCTCCAATGACTGGGTTTTTCTGGTGCCTTGTGTTTATAGAGTACCGGAGGTGATCCTAACCCTAAGCCTGCCCTGATGAAGACTCTACGGTACATTAAACTAATCTGCCCGACTAAATACAGGCTTTGTATACAATGTTCCTCTCTCTGTCTTAAGGCAAAATGTGGCTTAATAACGTACTGACCATTCACTGGGCTAGCTGGTGAACTGCTGTAGCTAGAGAGTACGGGTGGGGGAAAAAAAAAAAATCGATACAGCATAGTATCGCAATATTTTGCAAGGCAATATCGTATCATAACACGAACGTCAAGTATCGATCTTTTATTATATAAATTGTACATGAGAAGTTTGTTTAAATAAAATTGCTTTTTCAGTCCACTAGAAAAAGAATTTTCCTTTGGGGACACAATTTGAAGTTGGGAAAAAGATAAAATATTGCAATAAATTGCAATATGTTTAAAATTGCAATAATATCGTATCGTGACATAAGTATTGTGATAATATCGTATCGTGACATAAGTATTGTGATAATATCGTATCGTGGGGCCTCTGGTGATTCCCACCACTACTAGTTAAGGTCGTCCGGAGAGGTCTTTCTGACGGGCTGGATTTTGGGGTTCGGCCTGGGGAGGGTCTACTGCTCCTGTCCTCGACCTCCAAACCCTTCTGCAGTTGCGTTGTGTGATAGAGCTGTGAGATCCAGTAGGCCTCGTGGCCCAGATGATCAGCTTTATATATGTGAATAATCACCCCGACAGCAGTGAAGCTGTAGGGGTGAGCGGCTCTCAGAGCTCAGCTCTCGGCTTGTTATTGGTTCACCAGAGATTTGTTGTGCTGTGAGTGAATCGGTGAAAGTGCTGGTGTGACTGGGCCTTCAGGACGCCTGAACTACATCTTTTCATGATCCTTTGATTTTCCTCGTTTAGAGCTCACGGATGCTAATTGACCCGATCAAAAAACGGTTTCAGAACATCCCTGCTCACTGAGACCGAGTCTACTGATCCTCAGAGCTTTGATACCTGGAGAGTTTCAGCTGAGTCAGCTTGATGTCCATCTTCTCCACCACCGCCGGCAGACAGAAGCCTTCAGCCGGCAGCAGGGAGAAGCTGTTCCCCACCGTGATCAGACCCAGATCCGCCACCACGGCATTATGGGAGGTGGAGGACTGCGGGATGATGATGAGCGGTGCCTTCAGCTTGATGTCCATGGACAGACGGAAACTCTTCTGGGCGAAGCCCCGAACTCTGGACGCCGCCTTCTCCGCCGCCTGAGCTGTGGCGGCGCTCAGAGCTTCTTTAGCCGTCTGGAAGTTATCGATGAACATCTGGAGAACAAAATAAATCTGGAGTGAGTCGACAAACAACGCAGCGTCACATGATCAAGACGCCATGAAGGAGGGAGACGATGTGAGGCGTTCACTGCCTGGACAGAGTGTACAGTCATTTCTGTTTCAGAAACCTTCAGTTGAATAATATGAACCTCAGAATCACAACACCAAGTCGTTCATCTGCTTTACTTCACAAATACGTTTCGGCATTTACTGTAAATAAATGTAAGGACTGATTAGTAATGATTACAGGTTCAAAGGTTTAGAATAAAGTTTGAAGTTTCTGAAACAAACATGAACCATTTTCAGGAAGGGAAGTGAGGTCGTACAGGCAGAGGTCACATGACTGACAGAGGTCACATGACTGACGGGGGGAGTGAGGGGGTAAATGATAATGGCGGCTGAGTGAGTTGCATAGCACTTATGGAGGAAGTGAGCTCTGATAACGTGTTGCTGCGTTACCATCTAACGCTTCAAACAGCAAACCATGAAGCTCAACGTGATGAGTCGGCCGCAGTGCGTTTACCTCCGTACTGTCTACGGAAATTTCTAAAACATCAGTATTCATTACATCGAATCGAGCCCTCCCTCACACCAAAAGTTACTGTGTGTTCAGCAGAACAGCATCAGTTACCTTCCTTCTGACTTTAGTCTTAGTGTTTTCCTATCTGAAACTGTCTGATGTTCCTCAGGTCTGACAGCTCTGAGGGGGGTTAGCTTAGCTTTGAGAATTCAACATGTCTGTTGGGCCAACAACAGGACAGCTGGCTTATCAACTACAGTTTTCTGGGCCGTCTGGTTTAATATTTCACGGATGTTGAAAGTCTCCAGCCCCTCCAGGTTCTTTATAGAGGTCGGCGGGTCGGCCCTGCAGGTGCTGTGCTCTGCTGGTTTTGTTAGCACCGCTCTGTACCATCGCTTGCATTTGGACTTGCTTGTATCCTTTGCTAGCATCCAACCACAAGTGACGAGTACTAGCCAATCACAGCACGGTAGGGCGGAACTTGTCGAAAAGGCAGGAAAAACAAACGAGATGGGGAGTCGAGAACGAGGCTTAAACCTTTACAGGGAGCGTGGCCTACTGGAAACCTTAAACCAGATGATATTTAAGGTGGACTGAAGGTGCAGTGCAGTCGCTGAGTGAAGCTAAAGCAGAAGGTTTGATGCAGGGCAGAGCTGCATGCTGGGAGCTGTACCTCATCGGCAGACGCATACTGAAAGCTAAAAGAAGCCTGAAAGAACAAAACACATCAACAAGACCAGAAACATGAGAGACCAGAAACTGTAGAGAAGAACATGCGACAGGAAACAGCAAACACAGCGTTCAGTTGGTACAGTCATTTTAATAACAAGGAGCTTTCCCTCCCTGTCCCTGAACACACTGTTTTTCACAGCTTCTAATATTTTAGAGCCCTAAATTTAGTTTACTCAGATCTGTGTCTGTGGTCTGATCATCAGTTCGAGTCGAGGCTTACGGCTGAAACACGTCTGCTCTGGAATCAGCTGATCTTACTGGACCTCGTTAATCACTTCTCTGTTCTCAGACCAGCTGGTTAATTAAAGGTCCAGCAGAGTCCAGGAGCCCTGAAGCTGGTCTGGTATAGAGGGTGTGCGCATGATGTCACAGAACGCAGTTACGCTCACTGAGTGGCAGAAAGACAAGCAGCTGTGTTAGCTTGAATCAGCTAAAATACAGACAACACATCTAAAATGAGAAAGAGCTGCACCACTGGTTCTTTGGCAAACAATACGGATCACTGTTGAGTCCGACCGCCTTTAATTTGAGCAAATAATCACTTGTTTTACTCCCGGTTTGCTAAACGCAGCCATGGTAACAGATGTTCTGCCACTCAGTCCAGTGTGTTCCGGAAGGTGAAGTGACATCAACGGGTATGCGTCTATACAAATCAAATGTGAAGCACTGCATTGTGGGATTTCCAACCCTAAGCTGTTATTTGAGCTGAAGCCCATTAAAGCTGGTGTTTTTGCAGTCAGTGTAGTGACTTCATGTTGAAATGATCAGACGAACACGAATATGATACAGTCAGAACAAACAGAAATAAAATACACAGCCGTGTGACATTTACACGTAAAAGGTGTTTATGTGGATTTGAGTATATTAGTTAAAGTGTGCTCGGTGGTGGCTCTGTAGTGTCCGACATTTTAACGTTGGGTCCACTTGATTAGCACACCAGGTCACCGCTGTACTTATTTTACATTCATTTGTAATCTAAATCTAAAACCAGTATCTGCTGTGACCCCCCTTCAAACAGCATCAGTTCTTCTAGGTACACCTGCACAAAGTCAGGGATGTTATAGGGACATCGTCGGGGGTGTGATTGTCTGTTTTTGACAGCATTTCACACCTGCCTAAAACGATTGGACAGTCCTGTATATATTTCATGTTCTGAAACATTTATTGAATGTGGTGACTGACGTTGCAAGTGGAACATTATGTGCGAGTGCCATTAAGATGTGCCGTAGATCTCCTGCTTTTCAAACTCAAGACCACAGCATGTGATGTTGGGTTAAACATGCACAGAGTAACAGGTCGTCCACCAAGAATGAGAACTACAATTACTATCACAATATTATTTAAAACTGTCACACCACAACAAATGTGCATATATATGTGAACATGTATGTGTTCATGTATGTTTACACGTTTGTGTTCATGTATGTGTTCATGTATGTGAACATGTTTGTGAACATGTATGTGTTCATGTTTGTGTTCATGTTTGTGTTCATGTATGTGTTCATGTATGTGTTCATGTATGTGAACATGTATGTGTTCATGTATGTGTTCATGTATGTGTTCATGTATGTGAACATGTTTGTGTTCATGTATGTGTTCATGTTTGTGTTCATGTATGTGTTCATGTATGTGAACATGTATGTGTTCATGTATGTGTTCATGTATGTGTTCATGTATGTGAACATGTATGTGTTCATGTATGTGAACATGTTTGTGTTCATGTATGTGTTCATGTTTGTGTTCATGTATGTGTTCATGTATGTGAACATGTATGTGTTCATGTATGTGAACATGTTTGTGTTCATGTATGTGTTCATGTATGTGTTCATGTATGTGACCATGTATTTGTACATGTATGTGTACATATGTATATATGTATATAAAATCTCTGACCAGCAACGACATGAGGAACTTGTGCAGGTAGATGATCTGGATGCAGCCCAGACGCATCGTGACCTTCCCGTCCACCTTTGTCGTGTCGCTGTAACCCTCCCCCTCCGTTGCCCCCGGAAACAAGGAGAGTTTGAAGCTGAACACCTCCTCACCCATGATGGACACCGCCTGCAGGGGGGAAGGAAGGAAGGAAGGGGGAGGCAGGTCAGCATCATCTCACAGAGCTCATGGAAACTTTCATCCAAACCACAGCTGCTACTTCTTTCACTCGCTCAGTTAAAATGAGTACTGCTACTCCTGATACTAATACTTAACCTGGTACTACTAAAGTGTGGTAATCACAATTAACCTATTTGGAGACTTGCCAGACAAGACTAGAATCAGCGCCTCAGCATTAAACAGTCGTCTCACTGTATTTTTATTATAGCTTACAGCTCTTGTTTTTTGGTGCATCTGGCCAACGTAATTCTGCTGGCTGAAGTTAGAGTAGACAGATATATTTTATTCAACCAGCCCGCCTGGACCCCGGAGGACAGCTCGTTTTCCCAGTGTAACCACAGCTGCACCCGAGCCTGCCCTGAAAGTCACTTCCTGGTTTCGGTCATTCAGGGAAGTTTAGTGTCGTAGCATGACGTTAGCATGTCACGGTTTTGTTTTCACCATCAGATCACATTCTGCTGCAGCCAATAAGATCAGGTTTACATCATCATCATATCTGCTTTTCATCTGCCGCGTCTGGTTCTTTTGTTTGTACAAAGCAGGTCATTTATCAGCTCGTTAGTTTCTTTTCATCTCACTTCATCTAACAAAAGAAAATACAGTAAAGTGCTCCGGATGGTAAAAGTGACAGCTTGTACCAAACTCACCCGGGAAACTAAACATCAGCGCTTTAGTAATAATCAGCAGAATAACGAAACTGGTTCCGACCTTTCTGTGGACAGTTTTGGGGCTGACGTCTGTGACCAAGATGTCTCGGAGTCGAGCGAACACCTCCGTCTCCTTCGCCTGCACCAACACCGACGCATCGATTCCTGCAGGGTGGCGACAGTCAGGAGACAGGGGATGATGTAATGAGCTCTTAAAGGCGTCAGCCTTCACGTTAAAGCTCGGTCAAAGTATGTTTTCCTACCTTGGACTCTGATATCAGCGATGCTGCAGCGATCGTCACACACCTCCACGTGGAAACAACCCAACACTGCAAACAGCTTGAAGCTGAAAACGCCGCCATCTTTGGTTCCTTTAGACACTGCAGAGAGCGCAGAACCCACTTCCTGTCACATACAGAACCTTAGATGGGACATAGTGACACACCGTGAACAGTCTGGACTCACCTGTCCGGCCCGCTCCAGTCTTCTCCACCTTTTTTTGGGCATCTTGGTCTCGAGCGGCGGTGAATTGCGGCGGCACGGCGCTGTTCAGGAAGTTGATGGTTGACAGCAGAGCTTTGGTGTGAAGCAGGAAGTCCAGAGAGGTGAACTCCACCTGAAACACCAGCAGGTAAACAGCTGTGAGATCAAACATCATTCCAACCTGCTTCAAGAAGTTTCAGCGTGAACAGCTGCAGTGAGACGCGAACCTGAGATTGTATTTCCTTTTATTTATGGCCAAATTTAGAGGCAGCGAAGGAGCTAAATAATCTGCTGGTAGGAAATCTATCCTGACGACACATTTCCGAGAGCCTGTGTCTTAATCTTCTTCTTCAACTTACACCTGCAGTTTGGCGTCCTTGCTTGGTGTACTCTTAAGGAACACTGGACATTTCTTACCCTTAAAGGCTGCCATCTTGGCTACGTGGAGGAAGAGGAGGGACCAAAGTTTTTTAAACTTGTGAAATGGTGGCCGAGGAAGCTGCAGCGTTAACGGTTGTAGAAGGAAAAGTTCACTAAATTTTATTCATTTTTTATACATTTTGAATTGAAGTGAAGTAAACAAAGACGCCAGAAGGGAAGAAAGCAGTCAACCTTTTGTGAACGTCACAACAGCCGTGTTCGACATACTACGCAAATAAGTACAGAGTACGCAGTGTACTGCATGTTATTGTACTAACGGAAGGATGTGAATCAAGATCCAGCTCAGGAGTTCACCTGTGTCAGCTGCATTAACCTGAGAGGAACAGAAACTATGTTTAAATCCCTTCCTCCGCCATCTGTTGCTGAAAACCTCCACCCACCTTCAGTGTTTGCTCCGTGTTGTTGAACAGAGTCTGGAAGCTGGGGCCGCTGGGGTCAGCCTGCCGGACGACACACAAAAACAGGAATCAGTATTTTGTGTGTGTTTTTGATGTCTGGTTCTGTCTTTCAGAGATATCAGCAGCGTTGCATCATTACAGTGTTACAGTATCAGTTGTTCAACTTCCCCATCTTGGATGGACATAAAGATATATACACAGACACAAACATTTATCCCCTGAGAATCTATCTTTCAGTCTGTTTTAAAAAGTCTCTGGTCCCTAACACAGTTGGGACACCAGGAGACTTCACATTCAGTTTGTTTCCTCTGTAGCTTCACACTGATCCACCTGGGCTGCAGCCTCTCAACAGAAGAACAGGTGAGTGTGTGTGTGTGTGTGTGTGTGTGTGTGTGTGTGTGTGTGTGTGTGTGTGCTCACCTTCATGAAATCCACCTTCAGCAAGTTGGAGCCCTGCTGCTCTGAGGAGCTGATCAGGTGGAGAGGATGATTCCTGCCGTCTGGAGAAGAAGCACACATCACAACAGAAACTACACCTGAGCAGGTAGGTCTTTTAGTCAGTTTAGTTCTGTTCATGGTTCTGCAGGATTACAGCTGTTCTCTACCTGAACGTTTCTTTCTTTCTTAAACCTGCGTTCTCTCTAGCAGCCAGCAGGGGGCGACTCCAGCGGCTGCAGAAAGAAGTGTGATTGTATAGAAGTCTATGAGATAATGTTGCTGCTTCTCAGCTGATTTATTCCCTCAGTAAACACTTTCCTGATGAGTTTCTGGTCTCAGCCGCTAGTTTCAAGTCTTCTTCAACACAGCATGATGTTCATTTAGTAAATTATGGTCCCATTTAGAGGAACAGAGACCAGGAAGCAGGGGAGGCTTTAGGGCGGGGCTACAAGCTGATTGACAGGTCACTACCATGGCGACCTGTTAGGCATAGCAATGCGTATCCCTCCTTAGCTCCACCCTCCCGTCCAAATATAGTCACATCTGGTTCTAAAAGCCAAGATGGCGACGGCCAAAACGCCAAACTTGAAGCTTCAAAACAATAGTCCACAAACCAACGGGTGACATCACAGTGGCTACGCCCACCTCTTTTATACTGTTGACGGATGGGATCACACCAGCCACGGTGCCAAATCTGACTGTATGCAATGAAACTTTTTGTGATCACGTTGACAAAATGTGTCCACAGACAGACATGTAAACACCTGACAAACCGCTTCTGCTGTACTTCCCGCTACAGTACGTGTCCCCAGGACCATGCCATGGTGACACTCACAAGGTGACGGCCACGCTGGTAAAAATACAAGAACTTGAATCACACTAACAAATAACTGATCTGATGGTCTGTTTATTCTTGGTTTGAAGGAGTAGATCATTAGTTGGAAGTTAAAATTATGATTTTGGACATTATGTCCATATCTCACCTGGTACGTCGCAGTAGTCCAGGGTGACTCTGCGCAGGTATGAGGAGACCCTCAGGTCGAAGCTCCGACTCTTCCCTTCAGCTCCCAGCTCACAGACGCTTAAGGACAGGATGGTCTTCTCCTGGTCCACCTGCCGGGTTAGCTCCAACAGCACCTGAACACACCACACACCTCTGGCTCACATGGACTAAAATGATACTTTTTGCTAAAGCTAAGCTCAGCCCCTCTGAGTCACCTATGACCTGAGGCCAGACCAACAAACACACCTCTTTGATTTCAAACTTGAAGTGAAGGTCCGTGAGCTCCTCCAGAGCCGAGCGCTGGTGATCCTCGTCCGTTGACTTCTCACTGGTGTCTTCATCCGAATCTGAAACGCAAAAGCACAAACATAAATTATAACTTGGTGATAAAAATGTGTTAATGTTAAACAGCCGATCGGAGGGCGTGCACACAGACCTGTTTCCATGGTGTTGAGGAGGGAGGGGTGAAGGCTCAGCGCTCGTGGTCGGGCCTCCGCCAACGAGAGCACCTGTGGCAGTAAACACGCCCAAAAGTGGTGACATCAACACTGAGCTGCAGTCCAACCATCACTTCCCTGTCACTCCCCAAACCTCCCCGATCACAACCCTAAACACACCTGACAATAACGCCAACTTCCCCCACCACACACTTTGTCACTCCCTAAAGTGACTCTCACAGGCGGTTTCATTTCCTGAATGGTGAGTTCATTTTAGTGGGCGTGGCTACAGTTCCATTAGACCTTAGCAAGTGTACCTTCTCTGTGGGGGTGGAGGGGGTGGAGCCCCTGCTGGGCAGCGGGATGCTGTCCACCAGTTCAAGAACGTTCTTTATCTTCTGGTCTGAGATCTTAACATGCAGTAGCGGCAGCTCCCCAGACACCTTTAACCTGAAGCACAAACACCCCAAAGTTACTCACATAGCATGTACATGCGAGTCAGCAGACACACTGTCCACAGGTGAGCAGCATACCCGGGCATCCTGGCGTCCTTCTCCACCATACACTTGGCCAGCTGGACAGTGAAGTCCATTGGCTGGAGGATGTGTTGGACTGATGAACCCTGCAGCCGGGCTGACTTCCAGGCTTCACCTGGAATTCATTTAGAATTAAATAAATAAAATATGGACTTCCAGGTGGTTGTGTAGTTGTTGTGTAGTTGTACGTGTGGGTATTTCTTGTGTACCTGACTTGCTGTAGAGCACCTGGACTCGTCGTAGCTCCACGTTGTATCTCTCATAGGCTCGATCCATGATTTCCTCCAAAGAGGAGAAGGAGGACGGAGACGAACTGAGACCGCTCTGCTCAACACTGTTCAACTACAAACACACAGATGTTCAACCACACAGCTGTGCCTGAGCTCGGACCAACATCTGGACAGAACACCAACCTGTGTCTCAGAGGTTACCGACAATCCAAAAGTATGGATAAGACTAAAACAATCTGGGAAACACCTGCTACAAAGTTCAGGTACAAACCTGAAGATTTAGCCTAAAGCCCATCCTCTGAGCAGCAGGAAAGTGTACATTCCTTAATAACAATGATGACATTTTGGAAACTGGAATGTTTGATAGCTGGCTCACAAATATTTAAAGAAACAAAAGCCATGAATTTAAAACTGAGGTTTCACAGGAGTGAAAAATAAACTTTAGAACTGACTTGTAAGCTGCCGAAGTCTATGATGATGAGGTCTGACGTTTCGCTGTAGAAACCGGACTTTGGTACCAGCAGGTAGGATGGCTTCAGATCGATCCTCAGGTCCAGGACCTTCCTGGTTTCAATAATGTGAGACAAACCTGAAGAGACCAGAAACCATCAGAGTCCTTCTGAGAACCAGAATTTCCCACTATTGAATTATTTTTCAAGTAAAACAGTCAAACAGCTTCTCGCTGGTGACGATGTCCTGCTTTCTCTGGTCAGACAATCAATCAGTCAGTTAGAAAAGAATCGACAGACTGATCAACTTCGTGGTGGGAATCAGTGTTCAGATCAAGTATCTGGTGAACAGTGAGGAGTAAAAGTTTGAAGGATTCTGATTGGATAAACAGATTCCAGACTGGATTCAGACTTGGACCTCCATCTCAGACTCGGCTTGTGCGGCTCAGCTCCAAACCTTCACCAGACTCAGATGTAGCTGGGCTCGAGGCGTTGAAGACCTGGAACCTGCAGAAACCTCTATGACCGTATATTTCATACATCCTCATTACACTGACCTGTAGCGGTTTTCTCTTTGATCTCCTCCAGTTTGGAGAGCGTGGCCGAGGTCAGGACCTCCAGATCCAAACCTTTCCCCGTCTTAAAGAAGTCGGCCAGACTGTTCACCGTCAGCTAGAAGACAAACACCAGCGGCTTCATTTAGAGCTGCTGCGTAGGCCCCCAACAGCAGTATTATATAGCTGCAGTACCAGAGGCTGTTTCAGGACCTGCAGTTCTAGGACCGTAGTTCTTCTGTGACAGCGCCATCTAATGGAGTGGTGGTGGTAATGCACAGCCACAAGAAGGAGGTTTACCCTGTCTGCTAGCACGTCGGCCGTGAGGCCACTGTGTGCAGCTGTAGGGTTAACCGGTCGACAAGCATATAATCAATAACTTAGGTTTAGGCACACACCCTGTGAGGGTTAGGGTAAGGGTAATTGACTTCGGGAGGCTGTCAAGAGTATCATAGCTGAACGGTGCCTCACACATTTATTTTCACTTCGATCAAAGCTTCGTCACAGACCATGTTCTCATTTAAACCAGCGGTGTTATTGGCTGCCTCCTTGTAGTGAGCCAATATGAAAATATATAAGCCAAACAAATCTTACTATGGACCAGTATTTCATCAGCCTGTCTCACCATCACCATTATAAAGGGAAAGATATGTGCAGGGGTGCGCATGCACGCTTTCAGAAATCCACCACTTTCAGGTTTTTGGGTACACGTACACTTTCAGTTTGGATCCTACGCGCTGTTTCTAACCTGCTGCACTTATGATATAATAATAATAATACATGTTCTAAAGGTGAATCTAGAACAGTTTTTGAGGAATAGAACCCATGAAAATCAGACGTGAGAGGTGTGATCTGAGGTCCGATCGTGGCTCGTGTTTACCGCGTCGTAGATGATCTCCACAGGCTGAGAGTGGACTCTGAGCAGCTGGTCGGCGGCGCTCTCCTGTGGGTTTACCTCAAACGCCACGCTGAGCAGAGAGGACGAGGAGTCTCCTACTGAGGCAATGAGCGAAGGTACCGCCCCCTGCTGCTGTAAACCTGTAACATACCAGTGCTCCAGCGCTACCTCCACCCTGCAGGAGGACACACAGCTTTAGGTATTAACACATGTTGTTCACAGCATCATTGTCAGAGCCACTACACGGGGTTCCAACCTGTGAGTTCTGGTTACAGGGTCCTCACCTTAAGGCCTGAGCTCCAGGTCTCTGAGAGATTTTGGTGCTGAGGTCAATCATCTGGACTTTGAGGATCTCTGGGATGTCTGGCAGCTCTCGGACCGTCACTGAGGTCCTGAACAGCTGGAAGGTGACGACCACGGCGACATACTGAACAAACAAACAAACAAACAAACAACACACACACACACACACACACACACACACACACACTTTAACTTGGCTCAACTCTTGTCACCAAGTCCTGGTTTTATTTGAACCAGGAAACTGAACCACGTTAAATCATCTCAAGGACAGAACACGTCCTGATGGTTTATCTGTCCTGATGGTGGCGCTAAAGGATTCGTTTAAATCTAACGGGGTTCATCTTCTGAGGGGCAGGATGGAGATTGGGAACATTTCCTGTGCAAAAATAGAAAGTTTGTCCTGGTGGTGGCGCAAGAGGAAAAGTCACGAGGCTACCAAAGACTATGAACATGAAAGCTGCAGGTGAGTTTACCTGTTTGGGTAAAGCCAGGTTGTGAGAGCTGCCGCTGTAGCCGATTGCAGTGTAGAGTTTTTCTTTCTCCTCGGCCGTGATGAGCTCGTCCAAACCTGAACCTGAACACCAGAGGAGACAAACATCTTCTATTCACTGCTACATGGTACATAAACACCCTACAAGTAAGTGCAAATATCTGGAAATCTCCAGAAAACACCTCTGAAAGATCCTCGTAAAGATCTTCATGTTGACAAAAATCTTTTCAAGTCACCTTCTGTCAACTTAATATCACTTAAAGTCCCCTGAACATATCCTAGAGTCATGATTGGCTGTTTTCAGGTGAATCGGAGTCACTTACTTTGTGTGTCCTTGCACTCCTCTGGCTCTGCCTCCTCCTTCTTGGCCTTTCTACCAAATAAGCTGCTGAAGAAACCTCCTCCCTGCTTCTGCCCCCCTGGTGCCTTCTTCCCCACCACCTTCTGTCCGGACCTGATCACCTGGATGAGGAAGACGAGGAGGAGGGGGTCAGGTTTGGTTAAAAAGGTCTCTAATCAAACTGGTCTCTGGTCTGTCTGGTACATGCTTACCTCCATCTGGGCCTGCTGCCGGGCTAAAGTGATGTTGAAGACGTCCAGGACTTTCTCCAGGTCCTGGTGGAGATAAACATTAGCAGGGCAGACTCCAGTCAGAAGGCCAAACACAAACCCAGTCAGTCCTAACACTTGTGTTGGCCAAAACACCATTGGCACTAATTTGAATGATCTTGAACGTGTTTTTAAAAAGAGAGCCATCTTGGTGGACCCTCGACACCCTCTTCTCGCAGGGTTTCAAATTCTGGCATCGGGGAGGAGGTACACTTTCCCTAGGAGGGCCAAATCAAATAGATGTTGGAGATAATTTGTTCTGTTAGCTGTTGGGTTTTTAAACAAACTGTAGGCCTGGTTGCTGTTGCTCATATATTGTAATACAGGAGTTATGGATATATAGTGCTCTATATCTCATGGTCACTTTACTGTATGTTGATAACACCTATTGTATGTTTTATGTTTTTAGGTATTCTATTTATTATTTGGTTGATGTGTATTAACTACTGGTGCAAAATAAATTGCCCCTCGGGGACAATAAAGGCTATCAAAATCAATCAAAACCAGGATGCAACTTCCAGTTATTGACATTATTAGTTAGAGGAGATTATTCTTATTATTCCTCATCTTCCAGATTAGCAAATATTGACATTTAGGAGATTAGTGCTTGAAAATTTACTTCAGGGACCAATGGATTTCCAATCAACGATCAGTATACATACACACGACTGGTATATATAGTATCAGTCAGCAAATCTTTTCAGTAGAGATCCAAACTCCTGACAGCTACGTTAGTTTGTCATGTACTGCAGATCCTTTCTCTGTATGTCACCTGTGAGGACTCTGATATCTTTGCTGGCTGGAGTCACGTATTATTATCATTATCATTATTATTATTACACCAGTGTTGGTGTTTAACAGGCCACGTTCGGTCAGTTAGCATCACCTGGACCTGTCGTTCTGTGTCTTGGTTCGGCTTGTTCTGGCTCAACAGTTTAGTCTTATAGGCACTCTTGTAGACTTTCAGGTGCTCTCTGTGCTGTTTGATGTTGGACCAGGACCACATGCGACTGTAGCGTCTGATGTGGACCTCCATGATGCTGTTGAAGGCGTACCTCCACCTGGGAGAGGAATCAAAAGGAAACACACCCCAAAACTCTCAGAGGTCAAACACCTGGACACATCTGAAGATATCCGGACACACACACGTGAACACATCTCACAAGGACAGGCCGGTTGGAAGTTAACATTCAGGTTCTAACAGGCCGGTTGGAAGTTAACATTCAGGTTCTAACAGGCCGGTTGGAAGTTAACGTTCAGGTTCTAACAGGCAGGTTGGAAGTTAACGTTCAGGTTCTAACAGGCAGGTTGGAAGTTAACGTTCAGGTTCTAACAGGCCGGTTGGAAGTTAACGTTCAGGTTCTAACAGGCCGGTTGGAAGTTAACGTTCAGGTTCTAACAGGCAGGTTGGAAGTTAACGTTCAGGTTCTAACAGGCAGGTTGGAAGTTAACGTCCTGGTTCTAACAGGCAGGTTGGAAGTTAACGTCCTGGTTCTAACAGGCCGGTTGGAAGTTAACGTTCAGGTTCTAACAGGCCGGTTGGAAGTTAACGTTCAGGTTCTAACAGGCCGGTTGGAAGTTAACGTTCAGGTTCTAACAGGCAGGTTGGAAGTTAACGTCCTGGTTCTAACAGGCAGGTTGGAAGTTAACGTCCTGGTTCTAACAGGCAGGTTGGAAGTTAATGTTCAGGTTCTAACAGGCAGGTTGGAAGTTAACGTCCTGGTTCTAACAGGCAGGTTGGAAGTTAACGTTCAGGTTCTAACAGGCCGGTTGGAAGTTAACGTTCAGGTTCTAACAGGCAGGTTGGAAGTTAACGTTCAGGTTCTAACAGGCAGGTTGGAAGTAAATGTTCTTGTTTTAACAGGCAGGTTGGACGTAAATGTTCTGGTTCTAACAGGCAGGTTGGAACATTCTGGTTTTAACAGACAGGTTGGATGTTAATGTTCCAGCTCTAACAGGCAGGTTGAAACATTCAGGTTCTAACAAGTAGGTGGGAAGTTAACGGTCTGGATCTAACAGGCAGGTTGGACCATTCTGGTTCTAACAGGCAGGTTGGAAGTTGATGTTCCAGCTCTAACAGGCAGGTTGAAACATTCTGGTTTTAACAGACAGGTTGGATGTTGATGTTCCAGCTCTAACAGGCAGGTTGAAACATTCAGGTTCTAACAAGTAGGTGGGAAGTTAACAGTCTGGATCTAACAGGCAGGTTGGAATTAAACGTAATGGTTCTAACAGGCAGGTTGGAAGTTGATGTTCCAGCTCTAACAGGCAGGTTGAAACATTCAGGTTCTAACAAGTAGGTGGGAAGTTAACAGTCTGGATCTAACAGGCAGGTTGGAATTAAACTTAATGGTTCTAACAGGCAGGTTGGAATTAAACGTAATGGATCTAACAGGCAGGTTGGAATTAAACGTAATGGTTCTAACAGGCAGGTTGGAATTAAACGTAATGGTTCTAACAGGCAGGTTGGAATTAAACGTAATGGTTCTAACAGGCAGGTTGGAATTAAACGTAATGGTTCTAACAGGCAGGTTGGAATTAAACGTAATGGTTCTAACAGGCAGGTTGGAAGTTAATGTTCTTGTTTTAACAGGCAGGTTGGAATTAAACGTAATGGTTCTAACAGGCAGGTTGGAAGTTAACCTTCTGGTTCTAACAGGCAGGTTGGAAGTTAACCTTCTGGTTCTAACAGGCAGGTTGGAAGTTAATGTTCTTGTTTTAACAGGCAGGTTGGACGTAAATGTTCTGGTTCTAACAGGCAGGTTGGAACATTCTGGTTTTAACAGACAGGTTGGATGTTGATGTTCCAGCTCTAACAGGCAGGTTGAAACATTCAGGTTCTAACAAGTAGGTGGGAAGTTAACAGTCTGGATCTAACAGGCAGGTTGGAATTAAACGTAATGGTTCTAACAGGCAGGTTGGAATTAAACGTAATGGTTCTAACAGGCAGGTTGGAAGTTAACGTTCTGGTTCTAACAGGCCGGTTGGAAGTTAACGTTCAGGTTCTAACAGGCAGGTTGGAAGTTAATGTTCAGGTTTTAACAGGCAGGTTGGACGTAAATGTTCTGGTTCTAACAGGCAGGTTGGAACATTCTGGTTTTAACAGACAGGTTGGATGTTGATGTTCCAGCTCTAACAGGCAGGTTGAAACATTCAGGTTCTAACAAGTAGGTGGGAAGTTAACAGTCTGGATCTAACAGGCCGGTTGGAATTAAACGTAATGGTTCTAACAGGCAGGTTGGAATTAAACGTAATGGATCTAACAGGCAGGTTGGAATTAAACGTAATGGTTCTAACAGGCAGGTTGGAATTAAACGTAATGGTTCTAACAGGCAGGTTGGAATTAAACATAATGGTTCTAACAGGCAGGTTGGAATTAAACGTAATGGATCTAACAGGCAGGTTGGAATTAAACGTAATGGTTCTAACAGGCAGGTTGGAATTAAACGTAATGGTTCTAACAGGCAGGTTGGAATTAAACGTAATGGTTCTAACAGGCAGGTTGGAATTAAACGAAATGGTTCTAATAGGCAGATTGGACCATTCTGGTTCTATCAGGCAGGTTGGAAGTTGATGTTCCATCTCTAACAGGCAGGTTGGAACATTGTGGTTCTAACAGGCAGGTTGGAACATTCTGGTTCTAACAAGCAGGTTGGAATTAAACGTCCTGGTTCTAACAGGCAGGTTGGAAGTTGACGTTCTAATTCTAACAGGCAGGTTGGAACATTTTGGTTCTAACAGGCAGGTTGGAAGTCAACCCCCTGGTTCTAACAACCGGTTATTATCCGAATAGTTGATATTTCCCAGTTTTATTCATTTGAGTTTTTTTCCTTCAAACCGATCAAATGGTTGTCAGAAGCTGGAAACATGATCTGAGTTGTCAATGGATGTCAGACACAGACCGGGTTATGTTTTCTATTCAGAACCAGCTCTTGTTCCTCTGACATTATGATCTGTGTTGAACTCACCAGAGTTTGGCATTCATGTGGACGTTGACATCAGGTTTGAACTTCCTGTAGGGGGCGTTTTTTACCATGCAGTCGATGGACTCCAGCACCTCCACCATGCTCAGGTACTGCAGAAACCACAACAGACCAACAGAGAACCACAACACACCATCAGAGAACCACAACAGACCAACAGAGAACCACAACACACCATCAGAGAACCACAACACACAAACAGTCTCACCTGCCCTTTCTCACCCGTTGTCTCACCTGTCCATCTCACTTGCCCGTCACTCCTGCCCTGTCTCACTTGTCCGTCTCACTTGCCCGTCTCACTTGCCCGTCTCACTTGCCCGTCTCACTTGCCCGTCTCTCCTGCCTCGTCTCTCCTGCCCTGTCTCACTTGCCCGTCTCTCCTGCCTCGTCTCACTTGCCCGTCTCACTTGCCCGTCTCTCCTGCCTCGTCTCACTTGCCCGTCTCACTTGGCCGTCTCTCCTGTCCTGTCTCACTTGCCCGTCTCTCCTGCCCTGTCTCACTTGCCCGTCTCACTTGGCCGTCTCTCCTGTCCTGTCTCACTTGCCCGTCTCTCCTGCCCCGTCTCACTTGCCCATCTCTCCTGCCCCGTCTCACTTGCCCGTCTCACTTGGCCGTCTCTCCTGTCCTGTCTCACTTGTCCATCTTACTTGGCCGTATCACTTGCCCGTCTCTCCTGCCCCGTTTCACTTGCCCATCTCTCCTGCCCCGTCTCACTTGCCCATCTCTCCTGCCCCGTCTCACTTGCCCATCTCTCCTGCCCCGTCTCACTTGCCCGTCTCTCCTGTCCTGTCTCACTTGTCCATCTCACTTGGCCATATCACTTGCCCGTCTCTCCTGCCCTGTCTCACCAGGCTGCCACCCTTGCCCGTCTCTCCTGCCCCGTCTCACTTGCCCGTCTCTCCTGCCCTGTCTCACTTGTCCGTCTCACTTGTCTGTTTCACTTGCCCGTATCACTTGCCCGTCTCTCCTGCCCTGTCTCACTTGTCCGTCTCACTTGTCCATCTCACTTGACCGTCTCTCCTGCCCTGTCTCACTTGTCCGTCTCACTTGCCCGTCTCACTTGCCCGTCTCACTTGCCCGTCTCTCCTGCCCTGTCTCACTTGTCCGTCTCACTTGTCTGTCTCACTTGCCCGTCTCTCCTGCCCCGTCTCACTTGCCCGTCTCTCCTGCCCCGTCTCACTTGCCCGTCTCACTTGGCCGTCTCTCCTGCCCTGTCTCACTTGCCCATCTCTCCTGCCCCGTCTCACTTGCCCATCTCTCCTGCCCAGTCTCACTTGCCCGTCTCACTTGCCCGTCTCTCCTGTCCTGTCTCACTTGTCCGTCTTACTTGGCCGTATCACTTGCCCGTCTCTCCTGCCCCGTCTCACTTGCCCGTCTCTCCTGCCCCGTCTCACTTGCCCGTCTCACTTGGCCGTCTCACCTGTCCTGTCTCACTTGTCCATCTCACTTGGCCGTATCACTTGCCCGTCTCTCCTGCCCCGTCTCTCCTGCCCGTCTCTCTTGCCCGTCTCTCCTGTCCCGTCTCACCTGCCCGTCTCTCCTGCCCTGTCTCACCTGGCTGCCACCCTTGCCCGTCTCACATGTTACCTGTGGTTTGGTCATCTCTATGGCGATGTTCTGAACCTCCAGGTGAAGATTTGCTTTTGGAGTTTTCAGTTCCAGCTCAGCGTTCGGGTTGATGCACGTTTTAGCCGAAGCAAAGATCGGCTTAAAAACTACAAAACAAACCACGCAATCAGAGAAGAGGACATTTATTGATACAACATCCAGCTGATAGTCAATACATTATTGAATGTATCACTTCCTCTGAGGCTGATGGATGGTCTTTTAAAAAAGGTAGGAACGTGAAAATTCATCTAGATCAAACACTACAGGTTCCTGTGAGGGTCAAACTGTCTGTTTGACCTGCTGCGCTAATCAGCAGCATCTTCGGTTTCAGTGAATCGTTAACGTTCTTAGAAGTGAAACAGAAACTATGGAACATGCAGGTGTTAATCAACACGTAAACTGGGCTCAGTATTCAGGTCTAACCCTTCCTGAAGTTCAGCAGAGTGAAGACAGGTGAATGTTAACAAGGTGGTGAACTCACTGTACTGATAGTGAGGAAGCTCCCGGTCTTTGGTGCTGATCCCAGACTTCAGCTGATCCTGCAGGATACACAGAGGAAGAGAAACAGGAAAGGGAGGCTTCTTCAACTCAGAGGACAACATGGAGGAGGAACACCAACACTTTTTTACAGAATAAGGAAGATCTCGTGAAAGACGGACTAACTCTTTAATAACTCTTTATATGGTTTCATGGATAATAAGGATCAAAATGTTTTTAAATCCTGAAAGTAGCAACGAACTCTGAACGTCACATTTCTTCAGATTCAACCTGAACAGACACTTCCAGCTGCAGCGGCAGTGTGTCAACGTTTCACATTAAAAGGTCATTCAGATTATTTAACACACACAGATATGTTCCAACATTGTTTTAAATCAACTTCATAAAGCAGCGGAAACAAGAATCCATTCATGCCGTAAAAAGAGCTCAGATAGTGGAGAAAGACTGAAGCTCAGTAATGAACTGGATATATATATATATTATAATAGTATAATATGTTATAATAGTATTATAGTAAAATTTAGGAGCAGCAGGCAGCCGCTGTTTAGAACTGGGGATCTTAACCCAGGACCAGACAAACCACATCAACTCACCACGATAGTTTCCCATGATCCTTTGTAAAAGATGGGACTGTTAACGTTCCAGTAGGCGCACAGACAGTCCAGACGGCCGAGCTGACACAGACAAACACATGAACAGATCAAAAACAGAACATTGTGACACAACACTCAGCTTCAGTCGGTTCAGAGTGCACATCACACAGAGTCTCACACACAAGTTAGTCGTCTCACACAGGTAGAGTGACACACAGGTAGAGTGACACACAGGTAGAGTGACACACAGGTAGAGTGACACACAGGTAGAGTCTCACACAGGTAGAGTGACAGAAAGATAGAGTCTCACACAGGTAGAGTCTCACACAGGTAGAGTGACAGACAGGTAGAGTGACACACAGGTAGAGTGACAGACAGGTAGAGTGACAGACAGGTAGAGTGACACACAGGTAGAGTGACACACAGGTAGAGTGACACACAGGTAGAGTCTCACACAGGTAGAGTGACAGAAAGATAGAGTCTCACACAGGTAGAGTCTCACACAGGTAGAGTGACACACAGGTAGAGTGACAGACAGGTAGAGTGACACACAGGTAGAGTGACACACAGGTAGAGTGACACACAGGTAGAGTGACAGACAGGCAGAGTCTCACACAGGTAGAGTGACAGACAGGCAGAGTCTCACACAGGTAGAGTGACAGACAGGTAGAGTGACAGACAGGTAGAGTCTCACACAGGTAGAGTCTCACACAGGTAGAGTGACAGACAGGTAGAGTGACAGACAGGTAGAGTGACAGACAGGTAGAGTGACAGACAGGCAGAGTGACAGACAGGCAGAGTGACAGACAGGCAGAGTGACAGACAGGCAGAGTGACAGACAGGCAGAGTCTCACACAGGTAGAGTGACAGACAGGCAGAGTGACAGACAGGCAGAGTGACAAAAAAACAGCTTTGAGATTGACACGAGAAGGAAAAGGGGAAATTAGTGTTTCAGTTTCAGCCGGACGGTCTATCACCTTATAGATGATCTTTGCCGCTTCGTTCAGGATACACGACTTCCAGTTCTCGTCAGTGGTCTGAAAAACAACAACAACGCGTTAACATCACCTGTCACAGGTGTGTATGGGTGTATTCTTGTGTCTTTGTGAGGACTTGTCTGATTCTACACCCTAACAGTGAGGATATGTTCTCTCACTTCCTGTTTGAGGGTTTCAGAGGTCAGAGTGGACACGTGTAAGGCCAAAAGTGGAGTTCAAACTCATCTGAACTCTTCTGCCGTGACTGTAAAGTTTAAACTCAAACATCTCACTGTTGGAACTACAGCTGGAGTACAAAGGGCCCCATGGCGCCCAGGTAGTCAGGTGAGTTTTAGGGAACGCATCGTCGGTGAGGGTCCTCACAAGTACAGAGGTAAAATGTGTATGTGTGTTACCTGCAGGCTGAGCTCTGACAGTGTTACTCCCACAGACAGGGGGCGCTGTGGGTCTGACAGCTGAAACAGACAGAGGCACAGAAGCTGACTCACCTGTCCATCACAACAATGACATCACACTGAACAGGTGTGTTTTTAATGTGGTCACTGTACACACAGAACCTGGACCTGAGCCCGGACCAGTACTCACGTCATCCTCGTAGCGCAGGTGGATGCTGCTGATCTTAACCTGCAGGTTTTTGATCACCTGAGTCGCCATCTTCTCCACAAACGTGTCCTTCTTCTCCTCCTGAGGTTTCTCTGAAACGAACAAGAAGCTATGAAGAGACGAGTCCTGAGACCTGAGACCAGGATCAGCTGATCAGGATGTCTGAAACTCTGTCGCTGACAGACCACTGGAGGATTTCAGGTCATCTGCAGCAGGTGAGATTCAGTCCGAGTGAAAGTTTCAGCAGCTGTTCTGTACAGACTGCAGACCAATCGGACCTTTAAAGCTCACATAGAGAACATCTGTTCTCCTGCAGCAGGTAAACAGTGAAAAATGAAACCTACCTGCTTTGTTGTCGTGTCGTTTCAACTTCTTCAAGCCTTTTTTAGACTTTTTGTGTTTTTTAAATCCTTTTGGGACTTTGGCAGCGTTAAAGAGAGAGACGGCAATTAGAGATAGAAAAGCCCGAAACACAGACAGGAAGCAGAAAGACATTCATCATATTCAGAGTCAGGGTCAGCAGGTGGGCAAGAGGAGAAGCCAATCACAACGCAGAGTTTAAAATCATCTGCTAAGAAGCAAAGACGTCTTCTGTTATTTAAAGTTAAAGTATGAGTTTGATACGAACACCTGGATTTTACAAACGGCTGTTAAAGAGCGTTGGGAGGCAGGGTGGTAAAAACAGTCCCGCGTGAAGTCAGCATGTACCGACAGTCCCGCCTGATCCAGGATCAGTTACAGTCTGTGTGTGTGTGTGTGTGTGTGTGTTACGTTGTGTGTGGGTGTGTGTGTGTGTGTGTGTGACGTTGTGTGTGTGTGTGACGTTGTGTGTGTGTATGTTACGTTGTGTGTGTGTGTGTGTGTGTGTATGTTACGTTGTGTGTGTGTGTGTGTGTGTGTATGTTACGTTGTGTGTGTGTGTGTGTGTGTGTTACGTTGTGTGTTACGTTGTGTGTGTGTGTGTGTGTGTTACGTTGTGTGTGTGTGTGTGTTACGTTGTGTGTGTGTGTGTGTTACGTTGTGTGTGTGTGTGTGTTACGTTGTGTGTGTGTGTGTGTGTGACGTTGTGTGTGTGTGACGTTGTGTGTGTGTGTGTGTGTGTGACGTTGTGTGTGTGTGTGTGTGTGTGTTACCGTTGTGAGGCTCCTTGTACACAACACTCTCCAGACCGTACAGCAGATCTCCAGTTTGAGACGCTGACAGCAAACGCAGCATGAACAGTATAAACAACATGTTAATACATTCATCAGCCTATCTGTCTGCTCAGCACCACCGGACAGGTGACAGGTGTCACTAAACCCAGAGAGGAGACCGACTCCTGGATGTGACGACATGTAAACTGAACTGCTTAAACCTCTCTGATCTGTTGTTGCTGTTCTTCTTCTAAAACATTAAATCATACATTGACTTCTTAAAACATCGTTTCCATGTTCGGGCTGAAAGCAGTTACTGTTTGTGACTTCAGGACAAGAGAAAAAGGTTTCATCTGTTCAGAGGACTGATGAGTCACAGAGCTTCTGTAAGTCATGTGACTCATCACGCCAATGTTTGGAATAAAACAACAATAATGAACTTTTAAAAGCATATTTAGACGGCGGCCAGTTAATAAAGCTCCAGCAACAAGTCCAAACACTACAGCAGCAGCACCATGACCCAGCGCTGATGATCTCAGCCGTCACAATCTATCAGGCTGTAATGAGCTCTGTTTGACAGCGTAGATCCAGCCTCTGGCAGCCGCCAACGTAACGTTGATTTCTATGCTGATGATACCATCTTGTGTGTCATCAGGAAACCAGCCAACATTCTCCAGGTCACATCTGCCTCCTCTATTCATTTCAAACTTTAAACTCTAAAAGGACTAAATATTTGCAGTAGAACAGCAAGCTCTGAAGTTCTATTGGCTACTGACTGATCAATACTTGTAATGGAGATCTAAGTGATGAGGTCTGATGGGTTAGTTTGGGCACCAGACTGTCACAGAAACTCGCTGAGCTTGTTCCTCTTTTACCAACAGAAGAACCATCAGATCTCCACTGTACCATCTCCTCTGTGTGATCCAGATTTCTACGCTTTTATATTGAACTTCCTGAAATACCTGACGCCACGCTGCTCAGCAGTGCTGAGCTTAGTGAGAACATGAAGCTGCAGACACTGATTATTAATAAGGGTCAGGGACTGCTTGGCGCTTTCAATCTGCTCTCTTTGTTTCGGTGCAGGATGAGAAAGTTTAGATCAGCAGAGAGGAGGCAGAAAACAAACAGCAGAAGGTGAGTGCTCAGGTGGAGTCAGAGGTCAGAGGTCAGCCTGTCTCACCTCGGCGTGCAGCCGTTTGCAGTGCCTCCTCGATGTGCTGCAGCTCTCTCTGCTTCATCTCCTGCTGGTAACGCTCCTCCTTCCCTGCATCAAACTTTAACGCTGCAAAAACACAAACCACACAGAAGAGTCACGTCTCTGTGTGATCCCCCAGCATGCTTTGCTTCCTGACGCTGCACCGACGCACAGTAGGCGGAACGTGAAGATGCATGGACAGATGATTGATGATTGATGATACATGGACAGATTGATTGTAACCTCGGTCTGTGGGACAATATTACAAATGTTTCCTGTCTCTTTGTTGTCCCCGGTTAAACGTTCTCTGCATGACGTGAAATGTACCGACAGAACTGATCCACTTACTGGCTCCAGGGACGACCAGCAGGTACAGACCGTCCAACGTGGCCACCACGGCTTCATTGTAAAGATTCTTCCAGGGAATCTTCAGCGTCAGCTTCCCTGAAAACACAAACAGCTGGGAGCTTAGTTTATCAGCTAACTTCAGCTACGTTGTGCTTGTTTTTCTGGGTTTATTTGATCTTTTGTGTCTGTGGTTGTAGTTCAGTGCAACATCCTTACTGACCATCAAAATCCTACTCGTTACCTTTAAACGCTTCTCGATGATATTTGTGATGAAGTGGTCCCAGTGTTCTGTGTGCTGTCCTTTGTTTTAGGTCCTGGGTTCTTACCTCTGATGGCTGTGTGCACTAGTGTGTTTTCTTGCTATATTCCTCATTTGTTCTTGCTACCTAATATAATTTCTTATCTTTCTATGTTTTACTTTTTGTAAATTGTGTGGTAATTGCTGATTTTCTATAAAAGTTCTATAAAAATAAACTTTATTAGTAATTCGTGCACACCAACTGAAGCATGTAAATACTGGACAAACCCTGGTCGAACGCTGGACTGAAATGCAACTGAATCCAGACCTGACCCATAACAACATGATCCAGACGGCAAGCGAAGGACATGGTGCTGTCACCTGACCTCAGCCGCCATCTTTCAGGCTCGTAGCCAGAACGTAGCAGCTTGTTGTCAGAGAGAGGAGCAGCTGGTCAAATCCCACTACAACAGCAAACTGTCCTCAGAGAATACAAACGTGAAAAGCACCAACCTGCAGCAGCTGAAAACATCTGCCATGTAATCCGTGCCGTCCACTAAAGAGCTCAGACTGTTTCTACAGGTGTCTGACAGCATTATGAAAGGATCCCTGCAGAGAGACCTTTTTTAAAGAATAAGATCTTTCTTGTTTAACCAGAAACAGTCGCTATATCGCTCTGTTCAAAGTCACCAGACTCCATTAACAAAAACCCTAATGTTACCACTTTGGCCTACAGCTGCCTCCATCGGTCAGCTTGTGTTTATGGGAGACTTTGTGTCAAAACAACAAAGGCACCCAACAACACAAACAAACAACAAAGTCACAGTGGAGGTCAGTAAGACTTTCAGACGGGTTATGTTGCCATATATCTGCTAAAACATGAGAGGAGAGCAGACTCTGCATCGCTCACAGATCCATCAGTTAACAATAACAGCCACAGATTTCCATAAACAACCAGAGATTTGCAAAGAATCCCTGAAAATCTTCCTGCTACTGAAAATAATAACTGGGGTCTACAGCTTCATCTGTGTTTGACACAGTTATTATCACAGACAGCAGCTCTACAGAAACTGGAAACTTTCAAAAAACATCTCTGGAGCCGCCAACCCGCCCGCCTCACATCCCAGATATTCCCCGGGTGTGTTGAAGTGGAGAAGGAAAAGTGACAGAACTCAGAGCCGAGTCATAAGGTGCTGTGGGTTAGAAGAAATGATCTCCACATCTGGGCCCCGTTGACTGTATGAACTTTATGGATCGTTCTTGGTGGTGAACAGAGACAATGGCCAAAACAACGACTGAAGGGTCGGTAATTCTTCAGTCTGTTCTAGGATTTGTCTGCTCTGGATTCAGTCTGTTCTAGGATCTGACTGCTTTGGGTTCTAACAGCTCTGAGTTCACTCTGTTCTGGGTTCTGTCTGCTCTGGGTTTAGTCTGCTCTGGGTTCTGTCTGTTCTAGGATCTGTCTGCTCTGGGTTCTGGCTGCTCTAGAATCTGTCTGCTTTGGGTTCTGGCTGCTCTGGGTTCTGGCTGCTCTAGGATCAGACTGCTTTAGGTTCTGACGGCTCTGACACTCTGTTCTGGGTTCTGGCTGCTCTGGGTTCTGGCTGCTCTGGGTTCTGGCTGCTCTGGGTTCTGGCTGCTTTGGGTTCTGACGGCTCTGGGATCTGACGGCTCTGGGATCTGACGGCTCTGACACTCTGTTCTGGGTTCTGTCTGCTCTGGGATCTGTCTGCTCTGGGTTCTGTCTATTCTAGGATCTGTCTGCTCTGGGTTCTGGCTGTTCTAGAATCTGTCTGTTCTGGGTTCTGTCTGCTCTGGGTTTAGTCAGCTCTGGGTTCTGTCTGTTCTAAGATCTGTCTGCTCTGGGTTCTGGCTGCTCTAGAATCTGTCTGCTTTGGGTTCTGGCTGCTCTGGGTTCTGGCTGCTCTAGGATCAGACTGCTTTAGGTTCTGACGGCTCTGACACTCTGTTCTGGGTTCTGTCTGCTCTGGGTTCTGGCTGCTCTGGGTTCTGGCTGCTCTGGGATCTGACGGCTCTGGGATCTGACGGCTCTGACACTCTGTTCTGGGTTCTGTCTGCTCTGGGATCTGTCTGCTCTGGGTTCTGTCTATTCTAGGATCTGACTGCTTTGGGTTCTGACTGCTCTGACACTCTGTTCTGGGTTCAGTCTGTTCTAGGATTTGTCTGCTTTGGGTTCTGTCTGCTCTTGGATCTGTCTATTCTAGGATCTGTCTGCTCTGGGTTCTGTCTATTCTAGGATCTGTCTGCTCTGGGTTCTGGCTGCTCTAGAATCTGTCTGTTCTGGGTTCTGTCTGCTCTGGGTTTAGTCTGCTCTGGGTTCTGTCTGTTCTAGGATCTGTCTGCTCTGGGTTCTGGCTGCTCTAGAATCTGTCTGCTTTGGGTTCTGGCTGCTCTGGGTTCTGGCTGCTCTAGGATCAGACTGCTTTAGGTTCTGACGGCTCTGACACTCTGTTCTGGGTTCTGTCTGCTCTGGGTTCTGGCTGCTCTGGGTTCTGGCTGCTCTGGGTTCTGGCTGCTCTGGGATCTGGCTGCTCTGGGATCTGGCTGCTCTGGGATCTGACGGCTCTGGGATCTGACGGCTCTGACACTCTGTTCTGGGTTCTGTCTGCTCTGGGATCTGTCTGCTCTGGGTTCTGTCTATTCTAGGATCTGACTGCTTTGGGTTCTGACTGCTCTGACACTCTGTTCTGGGTTCAGTCTGTTCTAGGATTTGTCTGCTTTGGGTTCTGTCTGCTCTTGGATCTGTCTATTCTAGGATCTGACTGCTTTGGGTTCTGACTGCTCTGACACACTGTTCTGGGTTCTGACTGCTCTGAGTTCACTCTGTTCTGGGTTCTGTCTGATCTGGGTTCTGTCTGATCTGGGTTCTGTCTGTTCTAGGATCTGGCAGCTATGGGTTCTGGCTGTTCTAGGATCTGACTGCTTTGGCTTCTGACTGCTCTGGGTTTAGTCTGCTCTGGGTTTAGTCTGCTTTGAGTTCTGACTGCTCTGGGATCTGACTGCTTTAGGTTCTGACGGCTCTGACAATCTGTTCTGGGTTCTGTCTGCTCTGGGTTCTGTCTGCTCTGGGTTCTGACTGCTTTGGGTTCTGACTGCTTTGGGTTCTGACGGCTCTGACACTCTATTCTGGGTACAGTCTGCTCTGGGTTCTGTCTATTCTAGGATCTGACTGCTTTGGGTTCTGACTGCTCTGACACACTGTTCTGGGTTCTGTCTGCTCTGGGTTCTGACTGCTCTGAGTTCACTCTGTTCTGGGTTCTGTCTGATCTGGGTTCTGTCTGCTCTGGGTTCTGTCTGCTCTGGGTTCTGTCTGTTCTAGGATCTGGCAGCTCTGGGTTCTGGCTGTTCTAGGATCTGACTGCTTTGGGTTTAGTCTGCTCTGGGTTCAGTCTGCTCTGAGTTCACTCCGTTCTGGGTTTTGTCTGTTCTAGGATCTGACTGCTTTGGGTTTAGTCTCCTCTGGGTTCACTCTGTTCTGGGTTCTGTCTGACTGTGTGTGGTGGGGTTCTGAGAGTCAGAACTTTAGTACTCACCGATCTGTCCGGCCTTCACTTTGAACGGAACGTCAAACTCACTCTGAAACACAAACACACAAAATGTCGATATACAGCTGAGACCGTCAGGTCCATCATCAATCAGCTGATCAGCGGACTCTCAGGTACACTGAGGTGGGACTCTGAAGGAAAAGGGACCTATCAGAAACACTCTGGATAATGACATCAGAGGGAGGAGGCGGAGCCTTACCAAAGCATTCTCCTTCACTTTTAGGTTCTCGAGTACAACATTTCCTGCAGAGACACAAAAAGTAAACAATCAAGTCAACAGTGTTTCTGTTTTTCCTTTGTTTATATTTCAAATATAATTTTTATAGTATCACAAATTCACATATTATTTCTTATTTTTAGACCCATTACTGACACTGAACCAGGAACCTCTTCCTATTTAAAAAAGTTACTTTTGTAAGGAAAAAAGGAAGTCACTCCTGACTAACAGAACAGAACCGACCACATGAAGTCACTTCTGCCTCTAACAGAACCGACTACAGGAAGTCACTCCTGACTAACAGAACCGACCACTATTAATATTTCTATTCCTTTATACTTTAATGTGCAATATGAGCAACTGTGACTCCAGAATTTCCCCTCAGGGATCAATAAAGTATTTCTGATTGATCTGCAGCCCGTAACAGACACTTAACCCCTAGTTGCTCCAGAGGCCTCTGACATAATTAGCAACTGTAAGTCGCTTTGGATAAAAGCGTCAGCTAAATGAATAAATGTAAATGTAACAGCCTGTGACCGGCTGAAAGGAAAAAGGATGTGACGTTTACGAGCTGCCAGGTGCCTTCCTTCTCTCAGTTTCATTAAAGGTTCAGTTTAGGTCGCATGATGAATTCATCTGCAGAGATCCAGAATCCAGACTCCCGGGCCAGATCTGGCAGACTGGTTCTGCTGCCTTTTGTTGACAAACAGCCCTCTGAACATTAAAGGATGGTGAGTAAAGTAGCAGCAAAGTGTAACACATGTAGGATCTGCGTGGAACCATCTGATAAAAGAACAGTGTCTGGATCATGATGAATACATCATAAGATATTTATATCTGCAGCACATCAGCTTCTCGTGTTTCATATTAAAATCAGCTGACTGCAGACTGCTGATGGAACGCCAAGTGACCACATTCAATCACACCCTCAAATCTACGCTTAGTGATTGGCTGAAGCCGAACCAGCCTTCTGATTGGCAGATACAGATAATTCCTGTTTACTGCTGAGTTACATTATAATTTGCTAAATAAATAAATATGTAAGATTCTTTATCTGCAGTGAATCCTCTGTCACACTGATGGCTGTAAAGAATAACTCTAACAGAATAACCTGCTGATGAAACTGAAATAAGATGATTAATAAATAATCAAACACACACACACACACGCAGGTAAATGTGTGTGTGTGTGTGTGTGTGTGTGTGTGTGTGTGTGTGTGTGTGTGTGTGTGTGTGTGTGTGTGTGTGTGTGTGTGTGTGCGTGCGTGTGTGTGTGTTTCAGTGTTTGTCTCTGTGAAGTTTGCTTAGGAGGAACCTCAAGGAAGGAACCTCAAACATGTCCAAAATTACAGTACAAATACTTTGGAATACACGTGGGAATCCTTCTGTGTGCAGTCATTAATACTGAGTTCTATAAGAGGGCATTTAGGGTGAAAACATTGAAAAACAGACGCACTGAAAACTGTCACATTCACATTGACAATGTGCACATACACACTGAAAATGATCATACATGCACCAACAACACACCAAGCACACGCACTGAAGTGTGTGCTTGTGAAGTCATTTCACTGCCCGTTTCATTGTAACAGGAAGTCACTGATGCAGCTAGCTAAATATCCATGGTCAAAATACATGTAGAATGTGTATAATAAGCTCAGCAAATGAAGTGAAGTGTTGTAGGTTTCATGTGAATAAGAAGACAGAGATAAAGTTTATAAAATATCTGAAGGTGAGGAGCAAAAATTAAATGTGACATACAATAAATATCCCTCCCTGTAGGTTAAGGGATGCTGAACTAAATATATAAATATAATAAATGATTAACTGTTCATATAATTGCTTAGATAAACAATCTCTCTGAACAAGGAATACCACTCGCACTGAAATACACGTTTCATCATGTTAGCTATGCTTTTATTTTGAAAGTTAGGACAGGAATCTAAGGCTTCCTGTTACACTACAACAGCTTCCGGACGCAATAAAATAATTTTACACGCACACACTCAGATACCCCTGTATTTCAGTGTATATGCGCGCAGTGTCAGTGCGTGTGTGACAGTTTTCAGTGTGCGTGTCTGTTTTTTAATGTTTTCACCCTAATCGGCCTCTCATAGAGTTCTGTTTCTTTTTGTGTGGATCAACACACCTGTGTGTACACACACACGTATATAAACAGACCTGCACACACACACACATATAAACAGACCTGCACACACACACATACCTGTACACACCTGCACACACACACACCTGTAAACACCTGTACACACACACATACCTGTACACACCTGCACACACACACACACACACACGTATATAAACAGACCTGCACACACACACATACCTGTACACACCTGCACACACACACACACCTGTAAACACCTGTACACACACACATACCTGTACACACCTGCACACACACACACACACACACGTATATAAACAGACCTGCACACACACACATACCTGTACACACCTGCACACACACACATACCTGTACACACCTGTACACACACACACACACACACACGTATATAAACAGACCTGCACACACACCCCTGTACACACACACACACCTGTACACACACACACACACACACATATCTGTACACACACACACGTATACACACACACACACCTGTACACACACACACCTGTACACACACACACACACACACACACACACACCACACATATCTGTACACACACACACACGCGTATATACACACATATCTGTACACACACACACACGTATATACACACATATCTGTACACACACACACACACGTATATACACACACATCTGTACACACACACACACACACGTATATACACACACATCTGTACACACACACACACACCTGTACAAACACGCACACTCACAAACACCTGTATATACACACACACCTATATATACACACACACTCACAAACACCTGTATATACACACACCTATATATACACACACACACACACACACACACACACACCTGTATACACACACACACACACACACACCTGTATACACACACACACACCTGTATACACACACACACACACACACACCTGTATATACACACACACACACACACCTGTATATACACAAACACACACACACCTGTATATACACACACACACACACACACACACACACACCTGTATATACACACACACACACACACACACACACACCTGTATATACACACACACACACACACACACACACACCTGTATATACACACACACACACACACACACACACCTGTATACACACACACACACACACACACACACCTGTATACACACACACACACCACACACACACACCTGTATACACACACACACACACACACACCTGTATACACACACACACACCTGTATACACACACACACACACACACACCTGTATATACACACACACACACACTGTATATACACAACACACACACACCTGTATATACACACACACACACACACACACACCACACCTGTATATACACACACACACACACACACACACACACCTGTATATACACACACACACACACACACACACACCTGTATATACACACACACACACACACACACACACACACCTGTATACACACACACACACACACACACACACCTGTATACACACACACACACACACACACACACACCTGTATACACACACACACACACACACCTGTATACACACACACACCTGTATACACACACACACCTGTATACACACACACACACACACACACCTGTTATACACACACACACACACCTGTATACACAAACACACACACACCTGTATATACACACACACACACACACACACACACACCTGTATACACACACACACACACACACACACACACACACCTGTATATACACACACACACACACACACACACACACCTGTATATACACACACACACACACACACACACACACACTGTATACACACACACACACACACACACACACCTGTATACACACACACACACACACACACCTGTATACACACACACACACACACACACACACTTGTATATACACACACACACACACACACACACCTGTATATACACACACACACACACACCTGTATATACACACACACACACACACACACACCTGTATATACACACACACACACACACACACACCTGTATATACACACACACACACACACACACACCTGTATACACACACACACACACACACACCTGTATATACACACACACACACACACACACACACACACCTATATATACACACACACACACACACACACACACACACACACACACACACACACACACACACACACCTGTATATACACACACACACACACACCTGTATATACACACACACACACACACCTGTATATACACACACACACACCTGTATATACACACCCACACACCCACACACACCTGTACACACACACACACACACACACTTGTACACACACACACACACACACTTGTACACACACACACACACACACACACACACACACTTGTACACACACACACACACACACACACACACACACACACACACACACATACATTTGTACACACACACACACACACACACATTTCTGTACACACACACACACACGCAGGTAGAGTCGGATGTGTGTTAAGCTGATCAGCAGGTTTTGGATTCTCAGCTGAATTAACTCTGGCAGTGTGTCAGATGAGCAGCTGAGTTTCTGTTCGGATCTGCAGGAACACACGGATCTGAGATCAGAGAGTTTGTTTACCCGCCTGCCGACGCTCAGTGACGGAGAGGTTATCACGCCCACCAAACCTCCTTCGAACACCTGCTAAGTTAATGTGACCGAGGTTTCTGCACTTTCTGTTTTCTGAATGTAGCGATCAAACAATAATGACCCTTCCCTGATGATCAAGGCCACACATGCAACAAACATCGTCTCTGTGACGAACTCAACCTGACGTTCATGACCGCGACACACAGCTCGCTTCCGCTAACGTCTCTGTCAGATAACGCAGCGCAGCAGGCGACGCTTCCAACAAACTTTCCCATTTCACCCGAACAACAGCTGACTGCTGGTTTACACTAATGCCGACTTTAAGAGGAGAACCTGGAGATTAGCGTCAGATGTTCCGACATGTTCTGCGGTGCGTTCGTGCTCGTTTAGAAAGCAGGGAGTTTTAAAGCGTGATGTTTCTGAACAGAGTCTGGCGTCTCCGTGTGTAACCGCGGTTGCTGTGCTAGCTAGATGCTGAGCTCACCTCCCCAGATCCCGATCTTGAGCTGGGACTTGTCAAGGTTCTCCACGTAGTCCCCGATGAACTTGTTGAGCAGGTCGCTGACCACAGACTCGAAGACCATGACTGAAAGCTCCGGGTCGGACCTGCACCAGAGCCTCTGTCAGCCTTCTGTTGATTTCCGGTTCAGATGACGAGAGAAATAAAGGATCGACTCTCTCTGGGATCGACTGCTCTGTGTGATTAGTGTGTGAGCATGGATCAGCTGACTGTGAGTCAGAAGCAACCCATTATCATGGATCTTTATCCATTAACTGATCCATTTTCCAGTTAAATCACTACATTTATTAACACAATCATGCACACTGAAAAAGATATTGAATATTTCACCTCAAACATGGAACATTAAAAACACCTATATCAAATATTCACAATTTTTCAATTACAATTACAATATTTCTAACAGACAACTCCAGGTAAAGACTACAACTGTATAAACAAAGTATCAAAGTCAAAATCAATTAAACTTATTTATTTATTTTTTAACAATTTTGAAACAGAAGAATAAAATATAAAAAAGCATTAACACAATACAAAACATCAAAAGCAAATAAAGAAAACTAAATGGGAATTTGGCCTTTACTTTCTTGCCACTCTCATATTTCAGCCTCAGGGTTGATTGCCTCTGTCACCTTTGCATTAATCTGCTTCATCTGGTAATGTTAAGGAATGTTTGAAGGGGGGCGGCATCTCTTTACAGTTGTGAACAAGGTGGGAGTTTGAGGTCTTTGTTTAAAGCGGGGCTAATTGGCGTCTTGGCCTGCGGTTTACATTCAGCTTCTGTTCCAGAGGAGCAAACAGACTGAAGGGAGGATCAGTACACAGGTGCAAATGGAGCGCAGCAGGTAAGAGTCCAAATAAAGTAGATTCAACAGGGCGGAAATAATCCAAATCACAGAAACAGGACACGGAGTACAGGGAGCAGAGCAGTTAATTAATAAAGCTGTAAATCAGTGATGAGCTGCTGGAGATGTGATGTGTGTTTAGAGACTGTGATACCTGAGCAGGACCTGGAAGGACTGAATCCATTGACCTGAGCTCTGAGACGGTGCACGGTAGAAAACGCGGTGGCGCTGAGGCTACAGGAACTGAGTTCAGTCTTTTATTCAGGACAGTGTTTCTGATGGTAGCTGTTTATCTGCCAATCACGTGGTTGGATTCTCTGCAGTAAAGCGTCAGGGTTAGACCTCTGCACCTGCACAGGATTAATTCTGAATTTGACTCCACTGATCCTGCGCCCTTTTCTTTATCCGTAAATGTCGCACTCGTCTGTCTGTGAACATGTGAAGTATTCTGTGGACAGTCCGACACTTTGTTGAGTAACATAGACTGACTGGATGTACAAAGCAAAGCCGGGCTGGACTGAACCTGTTGAAGAGCTTTCAAAGTCTGTGCAGAGTCATAAGAGACGACATAAACATTCCTCATGTTCCTCATTTTAATATAAGAAACGGACAAATGCACATTTTAAATTTGTGAAGATACTATGAGGTCTGACTCACCTGCAAAGGAACAACAGTGATTGCTGAGTGAAAGAGTGAAAAACTGGTTCAGAGGTTTAGACTGATTATTATGAGCTGTGTTAAAACCCTTAACGTCTCTGAGGCTAAAAGATAACAAGGCAACATTTAGAAAACTCTTTGGTTTGGGTTTTCAGTTCCTGGTGTTGTACCTGATTTTATTTTATCTGTAATGTCATCTTGAAAAACTCAAACTCATCAGACTGGTCTTCGTGGATTTCTCAGGTGCTTTTAACACGGTGCATCATCACCTGATGGGACAAAAAACTGCTCCAAACGGACGTGAACTCGCGCCTTATTCTCTGGATCCTGTCTTTTCTGACAGATAGAAACAAGAGGGTCCGAGTCAACGGTCTCCACCGGAGCCCCACTAAGCTCTGAAATCTCACCGGTTCTGTACACACTATACACTAATGACTGCAGGAGCACTAACCCCGGTGTAACATCCCTTAAATATCCCGACGACACTGTGATCATGGACACCACTAACTCACTATATCAGCCTGGTTTGGATCATCATCTAACATCCATCCATCGCAACTCACTAAACAAAGTCATAACAAAATAATCGTACAAGTGCAGGAACCACTTATCAGTATTTACAACAGGAGGACTAAACTAAAAGGAACACACTCACAGTCTCCTACCCTCAGGCCAGAGATCCAGATCACTCACATTCAGGACTAAGAGAGCCATGACAAGTTTTGTGCCCACGTCCATCAGAAACATGAACGGCTGATTAACTCATTCATCTATGTGTGTGTGTCCGTGTGTGTGCGGATTGGTGATTGATTGTCTTTTTATTATCATGTATTTATTGTACTTTTCAAGCTTATTTACATAGAACTGTTTATTACTTACATGTAATGTGTGTGTGTGTGTGTGTGTGTGTGGTATATTGTGCTGAATACAAGCGTCTCTTTGTAAAACCAGGAGACGGTTTACAGCCCTGCAGAGCACAAAATACTGGAGGAAATGTAAACAGCCCTGAGGCTGAAGCCACAGATTCTTTTCCACGTCACTACGGAAATCTTCATCAGTTTAGGACACGTTTACAGACATGTAGAAAATGTGCTTGACAGATTATGACAACGTGTTCAACCGTTGTGCAAGTAGTGATTTATGAAACGAACGAGATGTTTTGAGGCGTCAGACTGTTCAACAGAGAACCGGTAGGATCCATCGTGATCAACATGACATAAGATAATGCAGGAAACAGCAGACGGTTGTCATGTAATAATCATGTGCAATTTGTTCAAAAGAATGAGAAATTGCTTTTAACGATATGCACGAGTGACGAGATGATGTGGAGGTTGAACAAGTAGTTTTAAGATTTAAGAAAGGTTCTAAAGGTTCTGTGCTGAACAATAAAACAGTGATTTCTATTACGATAAAGTTTCTGATGTACGTCCCTGTGGGGAGTGTTTTCGTGAGCGCTCTCTGAGACTTTTGGTTAAACAGGTTTATTTCGTGTTCCGGTGCCTTCAGGGACGTTTGGAGGTGAGATTATCGGTTTGGTGACGCAGACTGTGTGAAGAGCTTTAAAAATAAGTGCTTATAGTTTTGACTGTTGCATCTTAGCAACTGAAAACAAACTGTCTTCAGGAGTTTTTTTAAATAAATTTCCAGAAAGAGAAAAGTTTTTGATCTTTGATCTCGCTTCCTGTTGTTTGTCCTGGTCTTCATCAGACATCAGAGTTTGCATTGGACAGATGTTTCATCTGCTGCTGATGCATTATGTGTAATATTATTATTGTTATTCAGAGGTTTTCATCTGCAACAGCTGATAACCCTACACTGTCACCACGGCAACAGCCTGAAACAGGAAGTGCATGAGAGCTGTTTTTGTTGCGAGCCTGATCAGGACTAACTAGTTCCATTAGGACCGCTTCCCGATTGATTGCCGCTGAGTGCGGCGGTGATGTCACCGGCGTGTCACAGTTCAGAGAAACGGCGCCATGTTTGCAGATGGAGGACGAGGAGGACGGAGCAGCAGATTGATGATAATAGGAGGAGGAGGAGTGGAGCCGCTGCTCTAATGTCCTCCAGTGGAAATGCTAATAGAACATATTAAAGAGCGGGACGGAAAACAGGAAGTCACATCTCACAGCTCAACTCTGATTAGGAACGTTTCAGAACTCATTAGGGCTCAAACAGCAACGTCTGCGTGGACCCTGCTGCCCACCTGAACACTGCTGGTTTGGGTCTCAGCTGGGGGAAGAGCTGCTGCAGGAGGAGACGGGGTCTCCGACCTGAGCTTTGGTGGAGGTTCCCTGAAGAAGAAGAAGAAGAAGAAGAATATTTGATGTCAAAACTTAACTGGCCCTCTGTGACAGGGTCATGTGCAGCTCTGTGAAACTGAAATCTAACAGCAGCCTGGACCATTTCCTCCAAACAAGAGCCACCTCACCATGTAAGCCGTCCTCCTCCTTCCTTTACTGCACCATCTTTGCCTGACATTAGTTCTTCTGCTTCATAAAAACTTCTCCACATCTGCCGAAAATGTTTTCCAGCAGAAAATCCTTAAATGAGGAGAAAGGCAGATGGCAGGATCCAGAGAGCAAGTCACCCTCTGTCAGCTTCTGCTTCCAGCGTTTCAGTAACTCCTGTAGACCTTAGTCCCAGCTAGAAGGAGGAGGAGGAGGAGGAGGAGGAGGAGGAGGAGGAGAAAGGCAGATGGCAGGATCCAGAGAACAAGTCACCCTCTGCTTCCAGCGTTTCAGTAACTCCTGTAGACCTTAGTCCCAGCTAGAAGGAGGAGGAGGAGGAGGAGGAGGAGGAGGAGGAGGAGAAAGGCAGATGGCAGGATCCAGAGAGCAAGTCACCCTCTGGCAGCTTCTGCTTCCAGCGTTTCAGTAACTCCTGTAGACCTTAGTCCCAGCTAGAAGGAGGAGGAGGAGGAGAAGGAGAAGGAGAAGGAGAAGGAGGAGGAGGAGAGGGAGGAGGAGGAGAAGGAGAAGGAGGAGGAGGGAGGAGGAGAAAGGCAGATGGCAGGATCCAGAGAACAAGTCACCCTCTGTCAGCTTCTGCTTCCAGCGTTTCAGTAACTCCTGTAGACCTTAGTCCCAGCTAGAAGGAGGAGGAGAAGGAGGAGGAGGAGGAGAAGGAGGAGGAGAAGGAGAAGGAGGAGAAAGGCAGATGGCAGGATCCAGAGAGCAAGTCACCCTCTGTCAGCTTCTGCTTCCAGCGTTTCAGTAACTCCTGTAGACCTTAGTCCCAGCTAGAAGGAGGAGGAGGAGGA